CTTCTTGATGCGGGAGCGGATGTTAATAGTCGGGGGGAGGATAGGAGTGCTTTGGAGTGGGCTGTTTGTAGAGGTAAAGAGAGGATTGTAAGGATGCTTCTTGATGCKGGAGCGGATGTTAATAGTCGAGGGGAGGATAAGAGTGCTTTGGAGTGGGCTGTTTGTAGAGGCAAGGAGGGGATTGTAAGGATGCTGCTCGAGAAGCGGGAGTAAACTTCAATGTACCGGTGGTGTATAGGGTGTTGTAGCATGGGAGTACGTCGTAGACGGTATGTTCAATCAAAGGAAATACCGAAGTGGTCGAATTGCTGCTAAACGCTGGAGCAGATGTTCTTGCACAGGGAGACAAATATCGCAGCGTGTTGAAGGCGGCATACTCAATTAAATGCAACACGGAGGTGGTCGATTTGCTATTAAGAGCCGGAGCGGATGTTGATGCACAGGGAGGAAGATATGGCAGCGCGTTGCAGGTGGTACCTTATGCTCTATCAAGGGAAACATGGAGGTTATTCGACTGCTACTGGACGCAAACGCAGACGTCAACGCTCGAGTAGGAAGATATAGGAAGGCGTTGCAGGTAACATCCTCGATGGAAGGCAAACCAGAGGATGGTGCAGTTACTGCTACACTACGGAGTCAATCTCAATACCCAAGGAGGAGAGGATGGGACTGCATTCATTGCAGGCGGCATCGTTGACGAAAGGCAATATGGCCGGGTGGTCGGTCCAATTACTACCTTACTCAACGCGGGAGCAGACGTTGATGCCCGGGGAGGCCAAAAATCGTAATGCACTGCAGGTAGCGATGTCAGTGCAAGGCAACGAACTAGAAAACAGGGCAATTACTACGCGATGCTGGAGGCGACATATTCCCGAATGGAAAGCAAACGACGCTGGATTCCGGCCTCCTCGCTTGGAACCGGAGTGAGATACCCCGTGCCCCTAATCCTATTATCAACTCCGGCGTATCTTCAGACCGATAGCAATGGTATCTAGCGGAAGAGCTGGAAAGGGAGATGGAGATGTTACGCGCACAAAATTTGGGATCCGATCGTCCTGACACACTTGCCTATATGCATCCCCTTGTATTGATATATCAGAGTCAAGGGCAGTTTGGAAGAGTTGGTGAATCTCATGGAGGAGGAGAAGCTGGTGCGGACTTCGCAAGCGGTGTTTCGAGAGTGGAATTTGAATACGGTTACTTACCTGAATGAGTGATCTGGCGTCGATGTACGAGATACCAGGACGAGATTAGGAGGCTTTTGGGGATCGGAGAACGAGTGATGAGAGTTTTATAAATGATGTTGAGGCAGGTCACCACATGAGGCTTACTAGTCTGAGCGGCCATGCCTTGATACAGGGCGGTGGGCAGAGGCGGAGGAGCTTCAGAGGGCAGTTGTAGATGTTTGGTGGACGATGCTCGGATCAGATCATCCCAATACGATTGCTAGCATGGGTCATCTCGCCAATATCATGTCGGGAACAAGGCCGTTGTGAAGAGGTTGAGGTTCTACAGAAGGAGGTATTCAATTGTCAGGTGAATTTGGTCACGACGAGCCAGAGTCAAGGAGCGTACTGTGGGACGGAAGAGAGCTTTGGTGCAAGAAGAGCAAAGAAGATACACCAGCTGATGTTAGAAAGGCCACTGGGCAATCGGAGGTAGCTCAAAATTCCATCGAGGAAGCTACACCGGACTCACGTCGACTACCGATTCTGTTCAAAGATGCCGTGGGTCCGTGAATATATCTCTCCATGGCATATCTGTAAGACGTGGAGTGGTATGAAGGCGCTTGTCGAGCAGGTTTGTACTTCTTCATATCGACGACCCTATCTATCGGCGAGCAACGTTCATCAAGGTCATTACGATCTTATCGGACCGTATGGCGAGATCGTTCTTCCTCATGTCTGGGAAACGGTAGTACAGCCGGGATGAGATAATACTATGCAGCTTTGGCCGATGGATGAGGAGAATAAGGAGGAACTTCCGCAAGGTCCCCTGGTGAGATTTCTTTACCCTGGTGTCGACGTTGTGGATGCCAGAGACAAAGAATAAACCCCGGCCTGAATCCAAGATTATGAAGCAATCCATGTCTCCAACAAGCACGGTTTAAGGGAGAGAGGATTCCATCTCGGAAGCTGTGGATGAGAGAGGACCTGCCCATCATCGCGAATGAATATGTCGACGCCAAAACTCTCACCAGGATTCACTCCGATGCACAACAGCGTTTACAAGATCAGAGATTAGCCCAGAGGACAAAGGCGGAGGAATATGACACCTCTGGGCACAAGGACGACAACCAGCAGGACCACTCTCACTCACTTGTCCCGCAGCCGGGAGTGAGCCATCCGTAGACGACCCAGATAGGCAGCCGTGGATATACCCACGTATCCCGAGCCCCTCAATCTGTCGCCTCTTCAGCGTCCGTTAGCGAGAGAGTCGGACGAGATGGGTCAAGTGCTGGCAATACCCCTGCGCCGGCCTCTACTGTTAGTAGTCAACGTTAGACCCAAGCTGAAGAGGATGCTTTGCCAGCTGAGTTGGGACAGAGGAAGTGGAGCAGATTAGTCACAAAAATCGGAATGCTCTTGGCCCTGCAAGGTGGCATCACTGCTAGGACTGCTCTTTTGGGAGACCATGATACCAGCCTGTATCCGCAGTATCCGAATGTGTTCATCAACATGGCGTCGCTACAAACGGGTTCCGGTCAGCAGAAGCCGAGGATGCAAGGCTGGTCCGCTGCTCCTGGAAGTGTACCTCGAAAACATGGCCATCAGTGATTCCATCATGGCGAGGAGGAAGAAGAAGAAGAAGAAGATGTGTACTGCAATTCGCGGGTGCGTCGTGGGTATATGGCATGAGATAGGTATAACTGGCTGCTCGTCAAATCATGTCCACTGCTTCCATCCCTTTCCTTCTTTTGCCTCACATCTCCCACGGTCAAAGTGAAGTATGCAAGCCGGTCTTCATGCGTCTCCATAAATCATCGATGCTTGGTGTCGGTGTCGCAAGAGTTCAGACATTTGTGCATGTGCATTCTCGATCCCACCAATTCCGAAGAATTGATCGTCTGCTGCTGCTGCTGCTGCTGCTGCGACCGAAGCATCCCTCAGCAGCGATCAGTTACGATCACGCCGGGCGAAATTCGTCGACTTTTTGTGTCATCAGCACTCTACGTGAACCAACATGGAGTCCGTGTTCGACACTTTAAAAACCTCTGTGAAGGAAGCAAGAGCAGCGAGAGAGAGTGAGTGATCGAATCCAGTAAGGTAGAGCCCGGACGCGGATCGGGCTTGGCACGGCACGGGTACGGCCCGCAGATCCCGAGCTGCGCCTGCCCATCACCTATGTCAACTCTGGCCTGCCTTGCTATTTCTTGCTCTTGCTCTTGCAACATATTCGCTCGCACAGCAATGGAAGGAGGAGCTCCGTACAGACCTGCCACTTATACAGTCTCAAATTTGCAGTCTCCATCTTCGGGCGTTTGGTCGATTTGAAAGATTGTGAGTTCAACACCTATACATCATTCATCCCCCACCAAACATGCGCATGATGAACAAATATGGGGTCCGTGTTTTTCCGAAAGAATGGCGCGAGTGTGGATAATAAAGACTACTCCACCTCTGATACCAGTTGCATTTGTGGGGCAGCAGACACTCCGGCGGGCCTATGTCTGGCATGCAGTTGGCTTTTCCTATATCATTATCCATGCACTGTGTTCAGAGATCTGGCGGTTTGACTTTGGTTGAATCCGCCCTGATTCGTATTCAACATCTTCCCATTCAATTGAGTCGGTCTATGATGTGGTCAATGTGCTAACTTGAAACATGAGTGGCATGCGATACTGTATCAACGAATCGAGCGTTGAATGAGTCTTCTTTTTTGAGCTCTTGTTCAATATGGGTGGTGGATTGATGTTTGGAGGAGGGTTGTGTTATGCTGTCTGTTGCTGATCTACGGGCGGAGAGATGTATATGTGGATGACAAGAGCAACGATCGAACGGGGTAAACGTTTGGAACGTTCTTGATATATGTTGTAGGATTGTTGATATCTACTAAAGTAGGGACAGAGAGAGAAAGCTAATGATTATTAACAACCAATGATAAGGATCGAACGAAAAGCAGGAACTACTATGCATACCGGTTGATCTCATTGCGACTGAATGCCACATCGATCGTCGACGATTTGACTGGTGGTTCGTGGGATGGATTTCCATCATTTCGATCAAGTCACGATGTGTGGTCCATCAGATCATGTGCTACATCTCTCCGATCCCTACAATGCTCTGACAATGGACACAAGTCTTTCATCACAAGCAATTTATATATGTCTTGGCACGAGAATGTTGGACGATCTTAGACGACACATGTTCGTAGCGCGTGGACCCTGAGATTGGGTTGACTCTCACCTCAATCTTTGGCCAAACAACTCGATCGCAGACACAATCCCCAACATCTTCACATCCTCACCACCCGCCATGGCCCTCGCACCGAAATCCGACTCGCTGGCACTGTTTGAAAAAGCCAAACGCCTCTCTCCCGCCAACAAACTCTGCTTTGACTGCAATGCGAAGAACCCCACGTACGTCAATCCTCCATCCATGCCATGCCCTTCCCACCCTCCACCGAAACGTGCTGACCTTTGATGATTCCTTCTCAGATGGAGCAGCGTTCCGTTCGCCATCTACCTGTGTCTCGATTGTTCCGCGCACCATCGCAACTTGGGTGTCCACATCTCCTTTGTCCGCTCCACCAACCTCGATGTCTGGCAATGGGATCAACTGCGGAGGATGAAGGTCGGCGGGAATGAAAGCGCGACCAAGTATTTCAAGGCGAATGGAGGAAGTGCGGCATTGTCAAGCAAGGATCCCAAGACCAAGTACACAAGTCAGGCGGCGGTCAAGTACAAGGAGGAATTGGCGAGACGAGTGGAGGGAGATGCGAGGAGATTTCCGGATTCCGTGGTGATTGAGGATGCGGGTGGGGAAGATGCGGGAGGAAGTKGGACCAACACGCCCAAGGAGGGAGGAGGAGATGATGACTTCTTCAGCAGTTGGGACAAACCGGCCGTGAAGAGACCCTCCAACCCTCCATCCCGCACTGGAACACCCGTCGCGAGGACCGCGTCGCCGTTTCTGAACGCCAATGCTGCTGCTACTGCGAATAATGGGAGGCCAAAATCCCCGCTCATCCCTGTTGGAGATGCGACTCCAGCGGCAGCAGCACCCAAGACCATCTCTAGCTCGGCCATCCGCAAGACTGCGTTGACGAGCAAACCGAAGGCCAACATTCTGGGAGCCAAAAAGACGAAACTAGGCGCGAAAAAGGTCGATGCGAGTATTCTGGACTTTGACGAGGCGGAGAAGAAGGCTACGGAGGAAGCAGAGCGGAAGGCGAGATTGGGATATGATCCAGACGAAGTCACTGCCAGTGAAAGTACGATTGAAGCCGCTCAACCCGCCACCACTGCTGCTATCCACTCCCCAACGCCTGTCAGTCCTCCACGGGGAGGAAAAGCGAGTCAGGCGGAGGTGGAGAGACTGGGAATGGGTGTGCGAAGACTTGGCTTTGGACAGGTTGGTGGTGGAGGTGGTGCCGCTCCTGCTTCGGGTGGAGCACCCAAGAAAGCCATGGGATTCGGATCTACGAGTAAGCCCGTTGTTGGTGAGTCCACTCCTACCCTTCCCACATGTCCCTATAACAGCATCGCTAACTCCAGTATGACTATTTCAGATGACAGCGAAACCTACGCACGAGAAAAGTTCTCCACTCAAAAGGGCATCTCTTCAGATGAATTCTTCGGCCGCAACGATTTCGACTCCTCCGCCAAATCGGAAGCCAAACAGCGTTTGCAAGGTTTCGAAGGCGCCACTTCCATCTCCTCGAACGCGTACTTTGGCAGACCGGACGAGGCGGGTGGAGAGGAGGATTACGGTGATTTGGAAGGTGCGGCCAAGGATTTCGTGAGGAAGTTTGGAATCACGGCGGGTGATGATTTGGAGAATCTGAGTGGGTTGATTGGGGAGGGCGCCGGGAGATTGCAGGGTGCTATTAGGAATTACTTGAACGGTTGAGTGGGGAGTTGAGAGGGAGATGTGCATGGGAGGGATGGAGGGGTRGAAAAAGTGGGTGGTTGGTGTGTTTAATCCTAGCGAGCGAGTCGGGAGGGCGAAATCGACCGACAGACAGGCAGTACATTTTTTAAAAAGGAGAGAGAGTAATAGAGTCCTTGATCTTGATTCATATATTTGAGTTGTCTCTTGGTGGGGATGTGATGATGTCTGGATGTCTCGCTGGGTACATTACTTATGTACTTGGCTTCTTCGTCAATAATGCCGAATGATTCATCTAGATATGGKGCGAACTCAACTAATATGTGAATACCGTATCGATCTGCCGTTCATTCTTGCTCCTTGACGCWTTTGCGAGGTCGTACTAAAAGTATCACGACGATGGGATTGTGCGAGAGACAACAAGCGTCAGTTGTTGAGAGATGGAGAGACGGTCATGATATCCTCTTCAACCGCTATGCCGAACACTAGCTATCAGTCGTTACATCTCAGTACGGTGCAGCGAAAAAGTCAAAAATATCGCTTGAGACAGATACATCTCGACCTGGAGGCGTCGTGGTCCTCGTCCTCCTCGATCCACCTCTCGCTATCATCATCTTCTTCTTCCCTGGCTAATCGTCACGCAAAACTTCCTTAATGTGATAAGATCTGTACATTCTGATGTTCCATTAAGAGTGTCGGAGATTTAGGAGACGAAGACGCAGATTGGGGAACGACGAGGTGGTCGGTTGAACTCCGGTGAATTTGCCCTGAGCTATATAAACGTCGCTGAGGAATTTTGAGGCATCACAGTAGTGACGGTCACCGTACAGCTGAGTGGCGCAGCGGAAGCGCGCCGGGCTCATAACCCGGAGGGCAACGGATCGAAACCGTTCTCAGCTAGATCTTGGATCTCTTTTTTGGCTCCTTGGGACTTGTCATCTTTTTGCTCATATGCTGTCCTTCTTTCTCCATGGATATTATTTAGAGTTGTGTTGAGTAGAAAAGCTATCTTCTTTTACCTGCTTTGCAACACTCTTTCTCTTGGCTTGAGATTGTGCTTTTGCATGTGACAGCGCCTGGAAACTAGGCATCTTGCCGGCTCTCGTCTTCTTTACTGCTGACTTGTCGAAGACTTACAGTGGTTTCCGGTTAATTGACTCCGCGAGCCTACCTACCATGTTGCAGCAATGCTTCATTTCTCCGTGAAGTGCATGATGGAGGAAAGGAATTGTAACCGAAAAACAAGAGCCGCTGAGACTTTAGCCACGCCGCATGACAGCTCGTAGACTAGCCTCCCATCTCGCAGCGCCGGCCCAAACCACCCTGTGACAAACCTGAGCATGCACTCCCCTGCACTCAATTGAACATCTTCTCATAAACATGCTCCCCTTTCTCCAGAACCTCCACCCTATCCCCTACCTTCAAAACCCCCTTCTCGAACAAAGGCAATACACTCATCCCCAACGAGGAATGCGGTTTGGCTCCCTCATCAACCACTCTCGTCCGCTTCAACGTCTCGAATGGTTCGCTCTTATCTCGCACTCCGGAAACTGGATCGACGTTCGGTAGTGTGCATCGAGCTGTACGACAAGCGATGTGATATGTCCCACTTTCAAGGACATCTCCTTTTGAAGCACGGCCGATGTTACGTTCCAGGACATCTTCTCTTGAAGAACGGTAGATGTTGATGCGTCTCCAGGTATCTTCCTCGAAAGCAGGTGGACCGGTGATGTAGATGTTTGCACGGAATCTTCTTGCGTCGAGGGAATGTTTCAGCTTGCTTGTTCCTGGGAGGTCGGTGTCTACGCTGTGGACCGAGGCGAGATTGAGGAGGGAGACGGGGAATGCGTCGCCGAATCCTACGGGGTATGGCTTGGAGGTCTTGTCTGCTGGGAGGCTGCGGGTTATGGTGCGGAGGTTGTTTGTCTCTTCGATTCGGAAGAGGGCAATGGGGTTGGATATCCCGAGGAATTGCTTGAGCTTGACGAGCTTGGTGAGGGCGATTTCGGATGTCATGTTGAGGGCTAGAGGGCAGTCTTTCCAGATAATGAGGGGCTCGAGAAAGTAGCCTGCAGACTCCGCGCGCTGTGCTGTTGGACTGAGGGGGAGTTTGATGGTTATTGTTTCGGTGAATTTGATGCCGAAGATGGATTTGATGCTCGGGAAGCGGACAACCAAACATCCTCCATGGGTAGCCCAGTCGTTGTCCTGCTGGTTTGCCGCAAGGCCTCCGGTAGAGTCTTCATCTTCAGAGGATGCTTGTAATCGAGGTCCCGGAACCCACAGCTCCGTCGTGATGAGCGCCATTTGAGGTCGCTCGCGCTGGGTGATGAATCGCCATTGACGAGTTGCACTACCGCTTTTCTCGGGATCTACTTTCAACTCTTGCGCGAAGGAGAAGATGCGATCGTGCTTCAATCCGAGTCCGGTGACTTCCGATCCTGATAGCTCGACTCCTCGACATGACTTGATGGGGTAGGTGAAGAGGGCCTGAATCCGAGGCTTTTGATCTTCTGGAAGTGTGTTGACTAGTGAGTCATCCTTGGTGCGGAGGTTGCTGCGGTCATACAAACCAAAGCGAACACAGCCCGGGATATTGAGCGCGTCTTCTCCCTCCAGACGCTGACGATGTGTCCATACGAAGACAATGAGTCCAAATAGAACGGACGCGATGAGAATTCCAACATTCGTCGACAGACAGGTGATGTAATGGTGGAGAAACGTCGGGTCCTCCAATGAGGTCTCCATTTTCGGAGCTTGTGTCCGGTCTGGTAAGCGTTGTCTCCCAATCTGCGTTTCTGTGCTGTGCTGAGAGTTCACTGTCGAGTCTTGGCTTCCTGCTGGTATTGCACAAGATGCAGCTGAGATGAACTATTCTACACCCGAGGATACAGCGATCCGAATGTGCCGCGAAGCCAAGGTAAAGCCACGTGTGTRCAGACAGTGCGGTGTTTTTCGATGTGCGCAAGGATCGCTGAAATGATCTGATGTGCTGCTCACAGAGGAAGGAGAGTAAGGGTGTTTGGACTTCGAAATGATGGTCGAAAGCAAGTTGTTGATGATAAGGAACGCGGTCCAAAGCTTGACTCACTCTCTTTGAAGCCGTTCAATCGTGTCGACCAGTGATGATCACTGAAAGTGAGATGTTCATGATGGACTGGTTGTTGTAATCGACTAGGAGAACTCATGGGCAAGAACTCGAGATGAAGCTGAACAAGCTTAGTCACCAACTAATCTCATCTTGATCAACCTGCAAGTGAATGTGTCACAGAGACACGATTCCCGTGTTTCGGCGACTCACTAAGGCTCGGGGTTTCGAGCTTGACTTCGGTGGGATGACTTACTTTGACGTATTAAAGTCACAAGATGCGGTGAGAAATGTTGGTCACTAGAGTCCTTCATAGTCTACGACTGTCTGTTCAACTTTGTTGGGAGGTCTGTGATGAGCCTTCATGTAGCAGCCAAACTCGTCTGAGCATTCGTTGCAGCGCATGAAACGAAGGAGCTCATTAATAATGAGCGCTCGCGCCACTCATGCAACTGACGCTGAACTTCTGTATACATCTATCGTCTCTGTATTGCGCAACCATAAGGTAAGGTATGTTGCAGTTCGGAACAGCTCGAGAGTGAGTTTCAGCATCTACCCTGAGGAGCCGCGTACATGGGCCATGTCGCTCTTTTTTCGCATGAATCGTGTTTCTTCATGCATCTGCACCAGACTCTGGACAACAATCACACGTGTTACCTCAGTTGTTGTGGTGTAGTGGATGAGATTTGTACAAGCTTTATATCTCGTCTCTTGTCTTTCCCAGTTTGTAGGTCGAAGCCAGGTCCATATGTCGCGGTTGTCGAGCAGCTTGAATTCGTATCCTTCGGGCGAGGTAGCTCGGTCTCCCAAAGTCAATCTCGATCATAGTCCTCCCAACAGAAATTCGATTAGAAGTGACTGTGAACGCTATGCTGCTCCAAGAATGAACATGTAGTACTCCGAACCTGTGGACAGGTCGCGCTGCATCTCCCAAAGAATGCAGCACACTGAGACGGAGGGAAAGCCGCAGTGAAACATTGTAGCCTCTAATGCGAGCCTCCTTGCAAGCTGGATATCCGTTGATCATGACGCAGTGTAGACGAAATTCTGGGTTGGTCCAGCGAGCAAAGATGTGCTCATCAACATCGATATCTCTTCAGAAATCTGAGGTTGCGTTATTGCCATCTTGTATGAAGTGATTGTCCCAGAAGCGTGTCCCATCCAGGCATTGATCTCGGCAGATCGATCCGGTCTCCTCGGCCATCTCCAACTCTTCTGTAGCAACACCAACGCTCCAGCCGAAGCGCTCTGCAGTTTCCTGGGCAGTCACACCTCTGCCAAATAAGCGACCAAGAGTGTCATCTTCCGGCGGCGGAAAAAGGTACTGTGGTTCCCTCAACCATGCCAGCAAGCTCGCAATAGTCTTCTCGTCTGTTCTACTCCTCTCTTGGACGACCAGCAGACCACTGCGAAAGCGACGAAGCCGGATTGGCAGACGTAATGTGTCCCACATGTTGGCTGCCTTCTCGAAGTCTAGAGGTGAGACAAGCTCGATGCCGTTGCGAGTCYGATTAAAGACCTGCCACAGGTCCACCAAGGACATGATGCCTCCTTCCTTCCTCAATATACCTTTTCTATCATCGGTGAGAAATTCTGCCAGGTCTCTCGACAGCTCCGTCACATAAAGCTGTTCTGCTGAAGAGCCAGTTCCCAGCATATCCTTCGTCGTCACAAGCCCGAGTGCAGAAGCCGAATCTGAGATGATTCTTCTTGTCTCTCCATCGGCGCTCCCATTAGCCTGTCTGGCGAACTGCTCGGCCATTTTGATGACCTCTTTTGCGGAGGTCATCAAAGCTTCGAGATCTTCAAACGCGGTGCCAATGACTGCTTGATTGTTTTGACGTAACGCCGCACCTCTCTGCTCAAGTCCTGCGATGCCGACGATCCGCTTGGGTGTGCTGACTTGGGGCAGACCGTCTGTAGAAGTAAGGAAACCGCCCGATTGAGGGGGAGTCTGTGTATTTGGGACCGGCGGTGCACTCTGTAGCAACCACTTTCTCTGCACGAGAGCGCCTTCCAGCCTCTCTGAAAAGGTCTTWGCACCACCTGCTCGGAACGAGAATTTGATTGTCTCGATTGTGTCATCTCCCACGATAGTTGGGGTAGATAAACTTGGCCCAGGAGATTCTGGACGTTGRACTTCTGTCTCGATAAGTTGTGAACGGCGCCTAGCTGCAGCTTGTAGAGAAGCACCGCAAATCTCACATGCAGAGAGAGATGGATGATTCTGAAATGTGCATCTTGGACACAATGTCGCTGTGGTTGACTTGTCCAAAGCAGCTGTTGGTGGTACAGCTTCCATTAAACTTGACTGGAGTATCGCCGCACTAGGACGATTGGACATTGCTGCAATCGCGGCTCGAACCATTGTCACCAATGGAGGTGGAATACCGCATGCCTGGCATGGCGGAAGTGGAGTGTGCTGGTTGGCTGTTTGTGGATCGAAGTTGGCAGGTACAGGATTTGACAGGCCGCAAATCGAACAGATCCACGTCGCGTTCACATCTCTCGCCGGAGCAGGAGATTGAGATTGAGTTGTCGAACGTGGCGAGGAATTAGTAGGTCCGACTAACGCATCGCTTGGTGATGCATATCGAGGTGCCGGGCTCTTGATGCTCGAGATTGGTCTCCTAGTGGCCTTTGGGAAGAGTGTAATCTTCGGAGAGGATTTTAGAAAACCAGCGTAGAACTCTGTCCGCTCAATCTCCTTGAGATCTATGGCAACGGAGAACTTTCTCGGCTCATCCTTGTCAATGTAGCACACGCGGTGTGATGTGAGATAGGCATGTCCATTCTGATAGCTGGGAATCTTGTATTTGCCTTCGTAGAGTCCAACATCGTCTTGGACAAAAAGAAGCGTTTCATCATCATATAGAGATGGCCGGAGCGCGGTAGTCAAGTCTAGCTGGCGAAGGAACATTCGCAGACATGGGGTCCGTGTTGTCTGTGCTGCAATGGAGTGTTTGCTTACACAAACGTGACAAGCAAGATTCAACCGGATGGCTTTGTGCCAGTCCCAAGCCTAAAGTGGATTGATTGAGCGTTTGCAAATCGTCCAAGAGGATGGGTGATGTGGGAGTATCTGGCCTGTGATTCTCCTTTGGCAGTTGGAGTTGGAGTTGGGGTCCGATATGGCCAGAGATTGCGGCCCGTGCACGTTTTCGCACCTGACCCGAATTCTAATTCCATCGCCGTCCGACTTCACCGTCACTCCACTCCCCTCTCCCTCACTGATCCCTCCCTTCACCACAACGCGACACCGAACAACATCAGAGTACCGCGCATACTCACAACTCGACTTGGTCCCGTCCGTACCAAGTCTCCTGTTTCATCCTCCCACGTACAACATTATTGCCAGCGCGTCTTGCTTCCTCCCCGTCTCACCGCCTCCTCCTGACGCGAATTTTGCCTCGACGATGACTGCAGAGCCTTCGTTCACGCCCGTAGTGGCGCGGCGCACCCTCAATGCAAACTCGAGAAAGCCCGCAACACCGACTCAGTTTCCACCCGCTGTCGTTGATTACGTACAACGGGCCTTCTTTGAATACAACAGGCACAAAGACACGCCGGCGCTCATCGGCATTCACGACCACGACATTCGGAAGAAGCTGGCGGATACGGTCAATGAGGCCGCCGACAACACGGGCATGATCCAGGTGCGCGACTGGTCAACGCACCCGCTGCCTCATCAGCTCATCCTTGCGGAACGCCAACAGGCGGCTCTTCTCATCTCACAGAGCGCCAATCTAGCTAACATGAATCAACAACCCACTGCAAGTCTGATGAACCCAGACTATGCCTCTTATCAGCCCACCGCGAGTCTGATGAATCCAGACTACGCGCCAGGAGCCACGTCAAGGAAGAGAAAGTCCTCGGATCAAGAAGTGACCGACTACAATGGCCAATCCGTCACGCCGCCGTGGAAGAAAAAGGCCGGCCAGGTGTCTCTAGCCGAGCGCAGTGCAGGCAAGAGTAAGAACCAGAAACAGAAGCAGGACAAGAAGCGCAACGACACGTTGTTTGACAACAGTAAAGAAGCGCTAGAAAGACGCCGACAGCGCTTCGGTCAGGTCTCGCCAGATCAATCCCCTCTCCGTTCCCCTCGTGAAGACCCTCATATGGCCGATGCAAATGCTGGACCAATCGTGGGAACCTGTCAGACAATCGAGAAGAACTACTTCAGATTGACTGCTCCACCTGTCCCTAGTACAGTTCGTCCAGTGCCGGTCTTAGAGCAGGCATTGGCCCACATCAAGGCGAAGTGGACTGCCGACAAAGATTATGCGTATGTGTGCGATCAGTTGAAGTCCCTGCGACAAGACCTCACGGTGCAGCGCATCAAGACAAAGTTCACAATCAAAGTATACGAGGTGCATGCTCGGATCGCACTGCAGATGAAGGATTTGGGTGAGTACAATCAATGCCAGACGCAGCTTCGTGCATTGTACAAGCTGCGACTGGGCGCGAATGGCAGCAGTGGCGGCAAGGAGGATGAGTTTTTGGCCTATCGCATTCTGTATTTGATTTACACGCGCAACCGGGTCGACATGAACAACATGTTGGCCGATCTAACCCCCGCAGACAAAAAAGGACCATTTGTGAAGCTCGCACTTCAGGTGCGAGCAGCTTTGGCGTCCGGCAATTACCACAAGTTCTTCAAGCTCTACAACGATTCGCACGAGTCCGGCATGGTACCATATCTCATGGACATGTTTATCGAGAGAGAACGTCTCAGCGCACTGGCAGTGATGGGCAGAGCGTACGTTCAATCTTCAAATCACCTTCTACCGACTTGGCTAATGTCCCCCTAGCTACAAGCCCGACCTTCCCAGTGAATTCGTCGCAAAGGAGCTTGCATTCCATCTCGATAGCCCAGATGATTCGGTATTTGACACCACGACGCTTCGGGCTTGCCTCGACTTTATCATCAAGCATGATGGCGAATCCCTCTTGCAAGAAAAGGATGGACAGTCCCGCTTTGTGGCCGGAAAGGCTGCCGCCATCTTTGAGAATGCAAGAAAAGCAGCATTTGGCCATACTGACATCAAAGGTCAGCTGTCATGATTCATGCCATTCTGTCCCATCATCACCACAGCACGTCGATGCCGGCACGCCTCAACGAGCAGCTTACAAAGCGTCGTTTCGCGCGGCGCACAACTAACCCAAACCTCAAGCGCCGCCTGGTACACTCGGGATCTATCCTGTCTGGTCTCTCTTTTCACAGCATGACGGAACGATTTAAACCATTTCCCTTGCTCACAAGTCACAAGTCTCCTTCAGCGCTTGCTTCATCGCGGATACTCCCTTACAGTACCTTTCTCGGGGAGACAGTCTGGAGAGTTGGGATGTTGGATATCAAGCGTTACTTTCGTCCGTACGGCTTGCGCGTACACGGTTTCACGATTGCGAAGTTGAGGTTTACTTGCATCACATCAACGTAGCTTTAGGTTGCTCTTCGAAATGATTCAAATTTTCGCAGCTCGACTCCGGTTCCATCAACCGACATGACTCGTAGTATGTGGTGGGAAGAACCCTGCTCTCGTGCCGTTATTGTCAGACGTCATATCAGCGGAAAGTCGGGGTGGTGGTGGTAGTGGAACCTGCACATGTGGCTCACTTGCGGCAAAATCAGGTACGTAGCATTGCCTCGCGCTGATTTTGTTCCTGCATGGTTCTCCAGGAACACTGCAAGAGGGTCGAGTTCATGCGGCCCAACCGCCGTTTTCTGCAACGTGACGTACAGCACGATGGAAAGTTGTTGGCAGACAGAACCCAAAGCAAGACCCAGAGGGAGACCCGACGCTTCTTCAAGGCCGTCACGTCCCCAGTGGAGACCTTGCCGGAGGACCTAATCAATCGAGATGCAGGATTCGGTGCCGTTGGGCTCGCAGGGACATGGGTGTCTCTGGAAATTCAAGGTCGCTGGGAACCCACGCTTGCGGTGTCACACCAGATCAAGGCGTCTAAGCCCAAGGTGCCATTCGCTTGGGCCTGACGAATAACGCGTCGGCGCTTTCAGACTTTCCTGCATCGGCCTCGTCGCCCCGCCAGGAAAAGGATGCCGTGGAGTTCGGAGGTGGTGGAGCTTGTGGAGGTRCCGTTCATCGTGATTGAATTTTTCACGGCATAATATACATAGACATGATAATAACAGTACACACAGCTACGTGCCGATCGATCGAAAACATCTCTGACATTCACGCTGCTGCTCCCGCCCAATTTCGGCCTTGCCAGTCTCTCTTGCACCTCCGCCGCTATAAGTTCGCCACGTGCCAGCCCTGTAACATCCAGATTGTTGGGCTTTGTTTATGAGAACAGAGAGGGTCGCACTGCAACAAAGCGATCGATCAATCTCGCAGCTCAGCCCAACTCGGCTGGAAAAGAAGGTTCCAAARCTAGAACTGTTTTACGAGGGGCTTCCAATCCACCGGAAACGGAAGCAGCACGCCTACACGACGACAGCGCTCCACTCCACTCCCACCACCACAGCCCAGACACGCTCGCACGCCGACAAAGGAGTTGCTACGAGAAAGCACGCCGTCGAACCTCGCGCCGCCAGTATTCGCCCGCGCACACGTCCGCCGCCACGCGATTGCCGAGTCTCGGCTACAGTGTAACTCTAGCAGGGCAGGGCAGCAGAGCGACCAACACCCCGGCCTACTCATTCCGGTCGACCACCACCCCCGCGGCTGATTGAGGCGAGCGCACGCGGCGAGCCACTATGCGAGAGTCCTCGATGATTAAAAAGGTGGGTTGCCATGAGGTCCGCTGCACGATGCAATCGCATGGCGCGGATGACCATCCGGTGATGCGCTGTGAGTCGAGAGGATAGTGCTGACCACGTCCCAAGTTCCGGCGCTCCACCAAAAGCGACAAACACGAGTCGAGCAAATCGAGCCAGATCTCATCAATACCTCCCAAAGATGCAATCGCCATTGAGCCACCGAAAAAGGTAGGACCGCCGTGTGCCCGCAAAGCAGCCGGTGTCGGTGAGGAAATCGCAGGCTAACGCCGTTCGGTGGTATAGGTGATCAAGGCTCTCTACGACTACAATGCGCCCGCCGACTCGACCATGTACCTGTCCTTCTCCGCTGGCGACTTTCTGCACGTTTTGAGCCGCGAAAACGACCCGGACTGGTACGAAGCCTGTAATCCCTTGCGCAACGAGCGCGGCTTGGTGCCCGTCAAGTACTTTGACACTGTGGGCAAGACGGTGCGCGACTCTGGCGATTCGACTCAATCGGTCCCCAGCACGACGCACGACAGTGGCTACGCCGAGGGCGCTACTCCCCCCGCCAACGGTCAGGCCGCGCCGAGGATGAGCACAAGTACAGGACCAAGTATGCAGGGACATCGCCCGTCCAGGTCCCTTAGCAAGGTGCCTGGTGGCGTGTACGGCGTGGTCTCTTATGACTTCCACGCCGAAAGGCCAGATGAACTGGACGCAAAGGAGGGTGAGGCAATCATTGTGATTGCACAGTCTAACCCGGAATGGTTTGTTGCGAAGCCCATCACCCGACTCGGAGGACCGGGATTGATTCCAGTGTCGTTTATTGAAATCAGAGACATGACGACCGGACGAGCGGTGGAAGATCCTGTGGCTGCGGTCGCCAAGGCCGGAATCCCTAGAGTGGAAGAGTGGAAGAAGATGGCGGCCGAATATAAGAACACAAGCATCCCCCTGGGCACTGTTTCGACCAGCGGGACGCTCGAGCAGAACATGGGCCGGCTGAGCATGAGCAATGGCCAGCATGGATACGCACCTACACAGCAGCGACAAACCAGTGGGTCTTACCAGACACAGCAGCAGCAGAATTTGTTTGCTCCTGTGCGAGCGTCTGTGCCGCGATTCATCTTTGCGGATGACAAGTTCCACTTTGTCGTGGAATGCAGGCTCTCGAACGGCACTCACTGGGATCTATCACGGATCTACGAAGACTTTTACGAATTGCAGATTAACTTGATCAACGCATTCCCGGACGAGGCTGGCCAGGTGGCCGGCAAACCGCGGATACTACCATATATGCCAGGTCCGGTCAAATTTGTCACTGATAGCATCAGCGAGGGCAGAAGAGCCAACCTGGATGAATATCTACGTGATCTGCTGAATTTGCAGCAGCACATCACTTGCTCCTCACTCGTACGCAACTTCTTTGCACCGCGCGATGGAGATTATGAAGTGGAGGATGCGGATCTCGCAGATCACGCACGGCCGGCTGAAGCTACTCAACCTAGGCATTCCCAGGCCTCCCAAGGCTCTTATCAGAGCCAGCAATACCAGCAGCCTGGTCAGCAACGTCAGCCTTCCAACCCGGGCCACCAATACAGTCAATCACAAAGCTTGAATGGCCAATATGGCCATCAACGAGCACAACACTCTCAAGCCAGCGCGAGCTTCCCGTCTCATTCTCCTCCTGAAGTTGGTGGTATGCCTGGGCCAACCAGACAGATGACTGGAACACCCATGGGATCAAGTGGCAATGCACCTGTTAAAGTCAAAGCGTGGTTCGATCGAGACACTTGTGTTGTCATTCGAATGGCACCGCGAGGACAATTTACTTATGAAGAGCTTCATCGAAAGATCGTGGAGCGCCGAAAGCTGGAGTACAAAGGCCAGGACCAAAACGACGAGGATCTCGATATAGAATATCGAGACGAGAAAGACGGAGAGTACTATCGACTTGAAGGCGATGAGGATCTTGATATCGCTGTTGAGAGGAACGAAAAACTGACGCTTGCTGTAAGGGCAGCGGGGTCCTGATGAAAGAGCACGAGAGGTGGGAAGATCAGAAGTGTTCAGAGACTTATGTGTGCGGCTTCTTTGCAGGATGACGGTTTGATAGCTTATACCCACTTTTTTCCTTTTCGCGCTGGAGGGGAATGTGGCAGTTTGGGGTTGTACGGTTGGTGTTTGAGGCGCTTTGGAGTGGGAATGACATGGAGCAATGAGGAAAAACGACTTTATGGCGCGATGCGATGTTAGCTTTTTTGAGACAAGGATGGAAAGCGAGCGGTTGGTTTTGGAAGATGTCATTGTCTGTTTCATCTCGTCTTGTCCTTTGATGCGATTGACCCTTCATTACTGGGAATGTCGTGATAGATGTGGTGTAGCATACGGTGAATGCGATTCTGCAACCAGTGTGGTTGTCTACCGATCGCGGACCATCTGCTCAAACACTTCGTGCACGTGTACTGGTGGCTGTTCTGTTTGCTCGGGGTATAGTTTGTCAGCTATAGGTCATATGGATGGTTCGAGAAGCTCCAGGGAATAATAAGTGATGTCTCACATGGCACCTACCTTAGTTTGGCTTGCCAGATGCGGCCGAGCTCAGCCACTTCACTTCTTTCAGGCAACATCTAACTTCACCTTWACTCGTTTCACATCACACGGGCAATTACAGCGCCAGACCCACGGTCAGTAACGCCAGGAGGAGGCTCTGGTCGTTCGCACCCGACGCGACACCGACCCGCCCTTTCCGTTGCTTCTCCCAAAGTTCACCGCACAACTTCTGACCTGTCGTCAATTGATTGTCCTCGGGCATTCGTCAATCTGCCATGGCCTCCTACGCTGCGGAACAACTCAAAGAAAAGGGCAACGCTGCTTTCCGGAATGGAGATTACCAAGAAGCAGAAGATCTCTACACACAGGCTGTTCAGCGATATTCTCGGAATCCACTCATCTTTACGAATCGGGCGAATGTGAGGCTGAAATTGCAGAAATACGATGCTGCTGTGAATGATTGTTTGAAGTCGATTGAAATTACGGGCGCGAGTGGGCAGAATCACAAGGCATTTTACTTCTTGGGTGAGTCGGGGGTATTGGCCCGTGATGCCATTCGCTTGTCGTCATTGATGCTACGGCTGCGCTGAAGCTAACATGGATGCTTCTCAGCCCAAGCACAACTCGCTCTTCATCATCCACATGAAGCTCTCTCATCAGCCTTGACAGCGTACGGCCAAGTTCTCCACCCAAGCCCAGCAGCAAAGATCTCGCCACTGGACTTGCAGACATTCTCTGCCTTTGTCTTGAAATGCAAGAAAGCCAAGTTCTCCTTCCGTGATCGCGAACGTCTCCGCCGGCAAGGCGATATGCGCGCCGAATTCGAAGACATGCTCGAAACAACCAAGCAATCCGAACTTGTTACCATCTCCCAGCTGCTCCATTCCGGGCAACTCGGCCAAGTCGAAGCTTTTGAACGCAGCGAGGAAATCAAGAACAACTTTGCCACGAAATTCGCCACGCTCCGCAGTGTCTTTGAAGCTGCAGATCCTAAGAATTTCAAACCCAAGGAGATACCGGATCACTTGATTGATATGATCACTTTTGAGCCAATGCATGATCCTGTTATGACGAAAAATGGACATTCGTATGAGAGGAGCACAATCTTTGAGCATTTAAAGAGAAGCTCAACTGATCCGCTGACGAGGGAACCGTTGACGATTGGGGAGTTGAGACCCAACTTTGGTCTGAAAGCGGCGTGCGACGAGTTCTGGGAGAGCGGTGCCAGTGAGTGGGTTGTCGATTGGTGAAGAGAGAAGTTTGTGCTCGCGGCTTTGCGATGGCGTTTGGGAGTATCTGCAGCGTTGTGACATTGATTCCGCGGCAACTGGCTGTCGCATTTCAGACGCCGGTATGGTGCGCTCTTCTTTCTATGACTCTACGGATTGTTAATTGCGTGCATCTGATGCATTTTGACGTTCCTTGGTGTCGTTTTGCTACTTGCGTCGCTCCTTCCTCCCAAGCTCGTTGACGGGAAACGAACAGGTAAGAGCGAGAGGCCCAACCATGCGACTTAGGCAGACACTTCTCGTCTCAACTTCCACACCAGCCTCTCATCCACTACAATACCAACAACACCAGACAACACCGCCGCCAACCATGGAGATGCAGTACTTGATGTTACGCGCAGAGCTTGATCGCTTCGTGAAGGAGCGTGGCGTGGAGATTGTCTCGTCGGACGACGGCTTCGACGAAGATGAACTCTTGACCCGTCACCAGCTCATCGACTTGCCGTCTCAGACTCCACAGTTCCAAGACCTCGCACCGGAGATTCGAAACCTCATCTACGAGGAGCTTTTGTGCTTCAAAGACGGCAAATTTACTTGTTTTCCAGAGATTCTCTGTACGAACAAGCAGATCAATAAAGAGGCCACCGGCATCTTGTGGGTACCGTCCTCAATGCTCATGCAGAGACCTGTTCCGCTGACCATCATCACCACTTAGGTATGGAAAGAACGACATTCTGGTGCAGCTCTCAAATGACGGCATCTTGATTCACGGATCAAGCGAGGACAATGGCTACCTAGAGTCTCGCTTCGGCACTCGCCAAGCCAAGAGCAGAGAAGCTCATCAGTGGACCATCGAGGACATTGAGTAAGTTGTGGCTGGCAAAAGATATCTCACTCTGATGTCGAAAGACATACCATTGAACCTTGCTCTGCCCACCCTCACTGTCTGAGATATCGCTGACCCTTGTGTGCTTTACTCTTAGGTGGCCTGAGTACCTTCCCCGCGTCCATTCCTTGAAGTTCTCCATCATCGACAGTCACAAAAGCAACTTCGCCGACGTGCGCAAAGTCTCCAACGAAAACGTCCTATACTCTCTTTGCCGATTCCTCGGCAACGACCACAAGCTGGAAAACTTTGGTATCGATCTTCGCCGTCTGGACCGCCAGGGGAATGTCGTTGCAAAGACTTCCGACCTACATTGCCTGCTCTTACTAGACCCACTTCCAACCCTGAAGATCGAGGGCGACGGCTTGTTCGAAAAACTCACCGTGGACAGCACCGTGGATCTCCGGACCATCGGTCGCGCATCGTTTGCCCAGTGCCGTGAGTTCAGGGATGCATGTCAGTYGTAGTATCGACCAGACCGTCACATTCTCACTCCTCGGGACCGAGACCTTCTTTCTGCGTTCGCCAGCAAGGTCTTCTTCGCTTTCAATACCCACATCAAGCCACACATGAGCACGGCGAAGCTTGAGAAGCGCTGTGCCCGGAACTGCTTCGCCTCATTCATGGAGATTGTGAGAGACAGTATGGAGCGATACGACATTCCGCTTCGCAAGTCAATCACCATCGTCACTGCACTGGACAAGCTTCTTCGCTTCCAGATCGATGTGGCGGTAGCCCGTCACGCAGCCGAGAGACTGGCGGAGGAGATGGAAGCCGACGAGTGAGCAACAATTACGTTGTTCTATACGTTATGACGTTTGAGGGCTTGCTGAAGGGTACCAATATTGCGCATCACGATTGCCGATATGATTAACCATGATTGCCTATATGATTAACAATGATTGCTGGGAGATGGAGGCACGAGCGTCGCTGCATGTACTGAACTAGCATATATCTTGCTGAAAGAATGTCAAAGATCACATCACCCTTCTCTAACCATCRTCCTCAACTTATACGCTTATGAGACCAACTTACAGATAGTCATGCCGGGTCGTTTATTTTAGCGACCATTCCCTTGTCCGTCGATGCCAGCAGTAAACACTTCTACCACATTATATTAATATTCTCTTCAATATTTGTTGCATCGCTCGCGTGTTCATTGTACATTTTTTATTCAAGGAACATGCGATTCCGATTTATACATCTCCCTATCTGATTCTCCGGGTGTTCGAGGTCGGCGTGTTGCCATTCACTTGAATTTCCTAATCCGGAAAAATCGACATGACGCCCCTCCTCGAGATTCGACTTTTAGCTAAGCACGCACAAATCTCACACCTTGACATTACATCGACAAATTTCCACAGCATCACCACGCGTMCGCCATCATCGCATCACACGTCGCAAGAATCCTCGCTAACATTCCTCCTCTTAGTGAACGCACGGGCAACTCCAACCTCGAAATACGCTGCACGCGTCACCACCTACAAGCCTTCGACACTCGGCGCTTGAAGGCCAAGATGGCGCCTCGAGTCAGTCGCAAAATGAAGTATGACCGCTGCACGAACGAGGAACTGCAGAAGTTCTGCGCCGACCGCCGCATCAAAGTCAGCGACCCTCCCGCGCCAACCTCTTTACGTTCCCGAGAAGACCGTCAGCACGCCCGACAACATCGCCATGAATGCATTGCTGCTCTCAAAATCGCCGACGCCAACCCAGGACCATTTCGCTTTGTCTCCCTCTGCGCGGAGTTGCGCACGGCCGTGTATAAAGACCTTCTGATCCTCGAGAACTCCTGGACTTGTCATCCCCAGATTCTCGCGGTGTCGAAGCAGGTGAACCGTGAAGCAACCAATATCCTGTATGGCCACAACCTGATCGAGGTCAAATTCTGGGACGATGGGATGTACGTTCACGGAGAGCGGCCGAGCGACCATGGGCCTGAATATTGGCCTGCTTTCCTCGAGAAGGCTCAGTTCATTCGTTTGTCATACGGTTCTCAAACCAAACCTTTCCAAGCTCCGGGAGTCAGATCGAGTTACTGCGAGACAGCCCTCTACTGGCTCTGCGGAAGTCTCATGAACAATCATATGTTGAGGAGCATCAAAATCGACTTCACCCATGCACCTCAAGCTTTGGGAGATCCCGAGTACGACGAACCCTTCGACGTTTACGCGCTACGCCTGCTGGGACCGTTGAAGGAGTGCGTTGTGGAGGGAGTCAACGGCGTTTATCATGACCATGAGTTGGAGATGGAGGCACCGCTACGCCTGAGTATCCCGCAGGGACCTGACATTGATGAATGGTCCCCATATTACCGCGCTTGTACGGGCACGTGGGATGGCTTTGTCCTGGCCTGCAACGTCCAACTGTCCAAGGTGGCACAGATGCCTCCCGGACCTCGAAAAGCCGCGAACGCATTCCTGGACGATCTCCACGATTCGCTTACGAAGATCATCAGACAAGGCCATGTCAAACACTGCCTCATCAGAGATGAAGCGCCATGGTGGGGCGGCATCGAAGTGACGAATGACACATCGGATGGTCTTATCCGAGCATACAAATCGTACATGCAGTATCAGGGGGACTTCGTGCGAGCGATGATCAACCAATTTATCGCTTCGGACCTTCCTATTCCTGTCACGGAGTTTAGGCATTTTTTCGTGGATTCTCAGATCGCTTTGATGCTCGGTTCGCGAAAGATTTATAATCAGGTGCTCAAGCAGAGTGTCGTGGAAGAGCTGGGCGACGAAAGCAGCAGGTGTGTGGCCACGGGTTTTTTTGATCAATTGTGACTGCGTTACCAAGGCAGATAAGGGAGAGAGCATATGGAGCAGTGCAGAAGAGTGATGACGGAAGAAAGCAGAATGCACTCGAAATGGCAAGGAAGGAACAGAGCATATGGAACAGAGCGGAAGGAAGTAACGGAGGAAGGATGCAGAGTAAGGAAATCGACCGAACTGCAAGGCACGAAAACCCTGAGAGAAATGATCTCGAAGCAGATCAAGAGGAAGATGAGCTCGGTTCAGCACCCACGAATGACGGCGAAATGGCAGCTTCTTTTCTTTAAGCAGATGAAGAAGAAGAAGATGAGCTCGAGTCAACACCAACGAATGACGGCGAAATTGGCAGCTTCTTTTCATGCTGCACGGATTCTAGAACGATCACACCACTTTAGCATAGCATTTCATATCAGTTGTTTCAGCGTTTGTCATTCGATTTTCTCATAAGTTCGTTCATACCGAGCATCTCCAGACACTCTCGTTGTGTCTTTTCCGCCTCGACAGCATGAAGCGACGTCCATCTAAGCCACACCAAGCTCCTTGTAGAAAGCCTCCGTACTCGGCTTTCTACCCAAGAAGTCCTCGAGTGTCTGCATCTCGTCCTGAGAACCTCCGCGCTCCAAGACGGTATGTCTGTATCGTCTGCCTTCCTTGCCATTCATGGGATCCGCCTTGAAGACTGTGTGGAACATGTCTGCGGAGTAGACCTGGCTAGACAAGTATCTAGAATATGAATGTTAGCATTGTCTCAGAGGATCAACAAGGATGAGACTCACCCGTAGTATCCAGCATCGTAACCACCCATCAAGTGACCAAAGGTAGATTGACCGCTTCCCCAGTTGAAACCCTTTCCAAGAGTCTCCGGACCATCGATCTTGCTGATGTCCTTGCGGAGCTTGTTGTACGTCTCACTCGCGTCAAGTGCCTCGATATCAGCGTGTGATGCAGGCTCATGAATTGCCATGTCGAACATGCCGAAGTGTAGCTGGCGGAGGTTGAAGAGCGCGTCGTTGACGTGACGGGTGCTGACGATGGACTCGATTAAGCTGTCTGGCATTGTGGATGCTGGCTGAGGGGCGCCATCCTTGTTCGCAGCTTTCCAGGCCTCTGTGTATTCTGGTGAGAGGTAAGACCAGTGTTTGCTGAGAGATTTGATCTGGGAGGGAGTCCAGCACCAGTTCTCCAACATTTGAGATGGTGCTTCGACGAAGTCGCGGACTGTCGRAGTTCCGTGAAAGCGGGAGTAAGTGGTCTTGGAGACGAGATCGTGAATACCGTGGCCCAACTCGTGGAAAAGAGTGACGACTTCATCATGCTTGWGGAGGGATGGCTTCTTGGGTGTCGGCTTGCTGAAGTTGCAGACTAGCGCCGTCGCTGGGTAGCGTCTCGTGCCATTCTCCTGGATGAAACCGGGTTGGATGTTGAAGTTGGCGGCATGTCCGTACTTGCCCTCACGTGGGAAGAGATCGAGGTAGAGGTAACCAACAAACTCGCCACCGTCAGCTTCAGAATCCCACACTGCGAACACCTGAACTTCTGGATGCCAGACAATGTCATCTCCCTTGCCCGTCTCCGAGATCTGGTCACGATGCTTGCCCTCGACCTCAACAAAGTGGAGGCCAAATAGCTGCTCGAAGATGTTGAGCATACCGCTGATGGAGGTCTGCAGCGGGAAATACTCTGAAATGGCGTTCTGGTCGAGTTGGAAGTCCTTCTGCAACATCAAAGTATCATAGAAGCGGTGATCCCAGAGGAAGTAGTGCTCGGGGTTTCCGCCCTCTGCCTTTTTGAGTTCCTTGAGCTTCTCAATCTCCTTGACACCACCGGGAGCGAGGCGATTCTTGAGGTCGCCGAGGAAGTCATCCACAGTCTTGGGAGTCTTGGCCATCTTGTCTTCGATTCTGAAGGTAGCGTGATTTGGGTAGCCGAGCAGACGAGCGCCTTCGTCGCGAAGCACGATGGTCTCCTTGAACAATGCCACATTGTCGGGACACTTGTTCTCGTTTGCGATGAAGAGCTTCTGTCTGACCTCCTCATTCGTGCCATACTTCAATACAGGGAAGAGATCGGGGTATTTGAATGTTAGCCAGACCTTGCCCTCGGACGGCGTGCCCTCCTTGCCCTTCTGCAGACCACTAACCACATCCTCCGGAACGCCATTCAGCTCCTCGGGAGTCAGCCAAATCCCACCATTCTCCTCGTTGAGGTTCTTGGAGAAAGTAATGCTCAACTCTGACAGACGCTTCTTGATAGCCTTGAAGCGATCCCGCTTCGGGCCAGCTGGGATGCCCAAACCCATGCGAATGTATCCCTTGTGGTCCTTTTCGATCAACCTCCGGCTCTCAKCATCAAGTGAGGGGTCATCCTTTTGCTTCTTGAAGGCAGCATCCACCAGCTGAAAGATGTCCTCGCGCATGGCCGACTCAATTGAGAAGTCGTCCATGAGCTTTTCAGCCTCTGTAGAGGCATCACGCCTCTTGGAATCTGTTGACACGGCCTGGTAGAAGCCAATGATGTGGGTTTCTAGTGCCATTCTGTTGTCATCCTGTGCGAATGGCAGTCCAACATTCTTGAAGTTGGCCGTTTCGGGTGTGACCTCCTTCACGATCTTGTCTTGTAGAGCCTTCGTAGCGGCGAGCAGTTTCTTGGTGTTTCCGACAATGGTCTCTGGTGTATGGGTGAAGAGCGGCGGGGCCTGTGGCGGGTTCTTGAAGGTGGAACCCATGGCGGTGCTGGTGGTGATGGGACGTTGTTGAAGGGGAATAGCAAACTTGGGGACACCGGACTGGAAGACGAGAGCCCGGAGTCGGGGGATGACGTTGTACAATGCCACGATTGCGAGTAGCACCAGGAGGGTGAGGAGAAACGGACGACGCAGCAAAGACGAGCGGTTTCCTGAGGGCGCCAGCTTGATGTATCGAGAAGGGAAGAGGAAGTGAAGAAGTGAAGACGTTGCGGTCTGGATCCTTCAGAATCCACGCGACCTAGGGTACAGTATCTGTGCTGTAGATCTTGAAGCTTATGTGGGGCTGATATCGAGATATAAATATGTATATGCATAAAGCTACCGATGATCTCCTGAGAAGTGTTTCGATGCTGTGCACATGATGATACTCATTCACAATGACAGCCGGTGAGTTTCCTCGATCATACCGCTTGTTAGAGCGGGAATGCTGGGATAACCGCGACCTAGACAAAGAGTCTCCCAAAGTTGGTTCCAATAGCATATTTATGCAATTATGCAACCTCGCTCGTGCAAAAGCATGAGCTGCACATAAGGTTAATGAGAGACGTGAAGGATGACATGGCGGTACAGCCTTGGACAATCCAGCTCCCCTTCAAACCCGAGAGAGAAGGAAGCCGCAGAGCAAAAACACCAGCAGGAAAAAATCTATAGGAGCCACAGTCAGCTACCCGATCGTCGTCCAGGATTCCCACGTCCACTGAAAGTAACCAGGAGACCTGAAAGATGTTGCCGCTCCTATAGTACTTCCATGCAAAACCCGGTGAAGTTGGAGGCTCATATTTCATCCACTGCCTCGACCGACCCACATCAATTAAACTGACCAACTGCCTTTCTCAGTAGAGGAGAGATCCATGGATATTCAAACGAAAGGTGGGAGGTAACATAAGACAATTATGAAAGTAGCCGCTTACAGAAGAGAAGAGCTTAAAGGAGAGAACATATCTATGCTTACATCCCGCAGCCAAGAAGAGGAATAGAAGAGATTAGGCTGAACTGCCTTTCCTCCAGACTGCACTCCCGTCCTCTTCAACGCATCGCACGCAGCGGGTCGAAACTCCTCTCATCAAGCTCGAATCTATAATACTGTACACCGTACTACACCATTCATACAAACACACTCGCAATCAGCTCGCCGCCTTCTCAGCAGCATCAATCAAAGTCTCCCGCTTTCGCCTCCTCCTCTCCCTAGCATTAGCCCGAATGGCATCCTCGGTCAACAATTCGTCAGGCAACACAAACTCCCGCTCCTCCATCTCGGGAACAGGCTGTCCAAAAGCCTGAACCAACCTCCCAAGATTCCTGACCTTGCCCAACGCCGCATCCCTCAAATGAGGTCGAGAGTAGAAGCTCGTAAAAGGCCGGTCGGGGGCTGGTGGCGCAGGTGGCCGTGCAGGAGGATGTAGTGTCAGTCGAGGTCTCGCGGGCGTGCTCGCAGGCTGTGAGGTCGGAGCGGAAGATGTGGAAGAAGTCTTGCCCTTGAGCTTCAACGTCATAGTCGACTTGACCGCATTGACAGTCTCTTGTTGAAGTTGCCTCGCCGCACTGGCATTCAGATCCGAACTCGGCGGCTCGACACTTCCTTCCAGACTCGTWGCTCCTTCTCCCTCGTCTTCCGCCCGTGCAGCAGCAGCTTCCTTCATCATCCGTGCCTTTTTCTCCTGCTCCTTCCACAGCTTGAACTTGTCCACCAATGCCTGCACCTCTGCGATGAAGTAGTCTCGTTTGGGCTCGTAGCGTTTGGCTTCACCGTCTGTTATGCCAGTTATGCCCAACACACGTAGCCAATCGTGCCCTTGAAGACCATCCAAGATCCTCTCCAGCTGCACCTTTTCGTGCATAGCCCGCTCACGCTCAATGTTCCGCAGCTGTTTTTCCTTCCTCTCGGCCCGTCGATGTGACTTGTCGAAATGCGCGTCCGATAGAGGGTCTTCGGGTTGCGCGGGTAATGTGTTGAGGGCGAAGTCGAGGTTAACGGATTGGCAGCCATTGAATCCCGTGGGTGTTGATGATGCAGCATTGGACGATGAGGTCTTGTTCTTCTTTCCAACATCCTCCTGCTTCCCATCATCCGTAACGTACAGCGCARTATCCACCGTCAAGAATTCGACCTCCCTTGGGGTATCAAACATGACATCTTCATAGTTGGGAAAATAAGTAGCCAAATCACTCTTCAGCCTCGGACCATCATCCTGTGAGCGCAACGTCCTCTTCTCCTCCTTCTTCACCTGTTTGACCTGCGGCGAAGATGTGGATGTCGGTGGTGGTTGTGGTGGAGGAGGAGCTGGTGATTTTGTCGACCGACGTGGCACACGCTGCGGCTTGGGAGACGACAGGGAAAGCTCGTCCTCGCCCACGTCCAACTCACGGCGCACTCCATTGATCGTCTCCACCAATTGACCATGCGGTTCATCAACTGTAATCTTGGTCGGCGGCGGCGGCAAAAAGGCGAATTTATCCAGCGTCGTCTGCACCGGCGGTCGAGGGGTCGAATGTCGTAGATTCAGCTTCCGCCTCTTGGGCGGCGGAGGAGACGCGTCCGTCTTCGCGTCGCCAGAGCCATTTTCCTCCTCGGYTCCTGCTATGGTGGGCGCGGGTGGGCGTAGGTGTGGCTGCGAAGGCGGGTGAGGATATTGTCGGGATTGGTGGTGTTGACTATGATTGTGGTGGTGATGATGATGCGGCGTCGCGCGCTGTGATGCTTCCTTCTCCCTGTTGCTCGTCGCACTGCCCCCTCCCGTCAGCGACAACAATTCGCCCATGGCCTTGAGCGGGCCTGCAATGATTGTCGGCATGTTGTCTCGATCGGATCGTCATCTCGTGGCTAAATTGGTCAAGAAGAACTCGGAAGCAAAGGCATGGCATGTTTGCTCATTCGGGGACCGTCTCTCCTGGCTTTGCGCCCGCGCGCCGTTTTGGAGCTTGTCGGGGAGGAGGCAGTGGCATTGATATTGACATGGACTTTGATTTTACATTCGAATGCAATCCAATCTATTTACCAAGGCGAAAACACATCTGAATGGATGGATCGGGCAGCATTGTACTTTGCTGTTTTCAACATGTGGAAGCACAAACATCATCTCAAGATGGAGCCACGGATGGAAAATGCTCGTGAAAACACATTTCATGCTATTCATCATGATATCATGTGCTACAGCGGGCCTTCACAGCTAGGGGAGATGTAGTACCGCTGCAAGGCAATCATACCTCAGATCGCAAGCCTGGTTCAAGCTGATCCAATAGACTTGCCTCGAAAATATACATCCAGCGTCGAGCATTGGATGGGAATGCTCGGGTGAGAGGACAATCACTTCAAGAACTTGGAGGCCATGTTCATCAAGCCACCAAGCCCACCACCACCGGAAGATCCTCCTCCAGCACCGCCACCACCCATTTCCGACTTCATGTAAAACTTCAAGGCCATCTTCGCCGCACTCGCAACGGCATCCTGCTTGTTCGCACCCCCTTGAACATTGCCTTGAGCACTCTGCTGATCGAACAGCTTGGCAGCCTGTCCCATGGCCATGCCGATGAATGCATTCTGACCACCTCCCTGAGATTGGCCTCCAGATTGGCCGCCGCCACCGTGGAACATCTTCAAGGCTTGCATAGCAGCTGCACTCCCCATGTTTCCGGCAGAAGCTTGCTGCCCACCACCTCCGCCTCCGTAGAAATTCTGGTGCTGTCGGACAGCATCATCCTCATCCAAGTGCTCGTTCTGCACCTGCTGATGCTGGCCAGAGAGCATGCCTAGCACGGACGAAAACATGTTGGAATCGCCTGATGAACCGGCATGTTGATGAGCTTCCTGCTCTGCTCCAGAGAAATCATTGGAATGGCTTCCTCCACCACCGTACGATGTTCCACTGGATTGTCCGTATCCAGAGCCAGAGCTCTGTCCTTGGGAGTAAGAGCCTTCAGGTCGCTGGTGATCGGACTGATGTCCAAATCCTCCTTCCTGGCGGCCTCCATACGACTCTTGACCACCATACCCTCCTCCCTCTTGACGGCCTCCCTGACGACCTCCACCATATGAATCCTGTCCTCCATATCCACCACCACCTTCCTGTCTTCCTCCTCCATATCCACCATCACCGCCTTCCTGTCTCCCTCCTCCATAGCCGCCTCCGCCCTCCTGCCGTCCATTTCCGTATGAATCACCATCCTGCTGACGACCGCCTCCGTACCCGTCGTCACGTCCTCCTCCTTGTCCGCCATTGTAGTAGTCATTGGAAGCTCCGCCACCTTGTCGGCCATCGTCGTTGTAAGACATGTTTCCAATTGCTCGAAGGTGGAGCTGGTTGTTTGAAGTGAGTTGCTGGTTTGAATAGAAAGTGAAGTCAGACCTTCAATGCGTTTTAGATCATGCAAGTGTGAAGAAGATGGAATATATAAATGTGATCATTCCACCTCTACCACCCACCCCACCCAATCGACAGCCCCACCAAAGCGTACGTCATCATCGTCACCTTTCAGACGTGGGGCAGCAGCAGCAGCAGCAAACGACGCGACGACGCGCATGTGCAATAATCACCAGCAAACTTGTTCTTCAACAGTTACACAACAGCACATCCCATTCCCAGCAAACAACCTATAGTACCGAGCCATAAGCAAGGCAAGTAGGTATTCAACCCCCGTAGAAGAAGTATTTTATCCCAACCCCCATCTCTCATCTCTCATCTCTCACTTTCATCAATCACTCCCTCACCAGGCACCATAATCATACCTTACCTTGAAACAATGCCATCAACGACCCTAATCACCACCTCCCTCCTCCTAGCTCTCACGGGCCTCATAGTAGGATACATCTACATCTTCGGCGTGCCCCCAGAAATGAAGAAGAAAATGGAACGAGCGGCTTTGAAAACCGTAGGAGAGGTACCACCTTACCTGTATACATGCATCCCACCCAGTCGCTATACCTAACATTCCCATTCCGACTTTTCCAGAACAAAGCCTCCTACGCACTCAAATCCTCAATCTCCCAAATGCCAGAATCCAATCAGCAGGAATTGAACGAGGCAAAAGAGACGGTGGGGGATGTAGCGGGTGGATCGATGCAGAATCCCCTGGGGGAATTTGTAAGTTTCTGTCTGACTGGCTTGTTTCATTGTATAATAAGAGGATGTGGCCTGCTGATGGGAATTAGGTTGGCGAGAGTGCGGATTCCGCGACTGCGCCTTTTACTGGGCGTTGATCATGCCCACAGAACAGGAGGGGTGGGGAGATGTGATCTGGTTAGATCGATGGAGAAAAGGAGCTGTGATCGAGAACGGTATGAGCTTCCTGATGAATGCAGTCTCGACGCATGAAAGTGGAAGGAGACGTTTAGAGGTCCACGGCTTAGCACGATTCTCGGACGGAGAACAGCACGGGAGAGCTGTAGACTTTGGAAACTTCATCTCATCTTTGCATCGTACATCGTGACATTCATACCCCATTCATAATCATGCCCCTCTGAGACCCATCCACCTCCCCTTCTCCTTATTCTTCCTCTCGTCCTCGTCATCTTCATGAGGTGCAACGCTCATCATACTCATCGCGGCATACTTGGACTCCTGTGGCCTGTTGGAACCACCCACGAATACAGGCTGTTCATCCTCCCTCTCCTCATCCCACTCTCTCTCCTCCAGCAAATCCCACTCTGCGCTAGACATGTCGTTCAGGAGGAAAGTCTTGAGTTTGTCGCCCAATCTCGCAGACAACCCGAGCTTGAAGTCCTTCATCAGTGTCAGTCCATCATAGCCAGCTAGGTTGTCCTTTGCGGAAGCATGGGAGAAGACACCGAGTCCGACGGGCTCCCTGTGATCCATCTTTCCTGAAATGGCGGTTTTCCCCGGGGTGCTGGAATCCTTGCGATCGAGGTCTGGTCGCTTACGCTCGGTTTTGAAGAGCAAAGTCCACAAGTTCCTACCCAGTATGCAAGCGTCTTCAAATGTGTTGATGGTATCAATACCCTGTGTCTTACACAACCAGGCCATATCCCAAGCGAGGAGAGTTGCACCTTCTAGATACATTCCATAGGCTTTGGCGTCGTCTTTGCTAAGCTGCGTGAGTGGACGATCTATCCACAATGGTCGAGGTCTTGGTTGATTCTGCTCCATCACTCGAGATGCGGCTGGACTCGATGTGCGACTGATTGTTGAGCCCGGGAATGCGACATTCTTGCTCTTGTAGGATGACTTGTCTGGTAAAATCACTGCCCTAGGAAAGTCTTCATGTGGGAGGATGATCTCTGCAGGCAGACGGACGGAGAGGTAATGAGCGCAAAGACTCATCAGCCGGGCGACATTGCCAAAAGCTTCAGACACCTGCTCGTGGGGTTCTGCAAAGCTCCTTCCACCGACAGACTCCTCCCTGGCCGAGGCCTGCGTTCGCTTGTTCAACTCTCTCAGATCTGGTATGGCGAGCCCACCAAGAGTGTACACCGACCTGCCATTTTTCTGGCGGTGTCTCTGAAAGTTGCTAGCAGCGGCAGCCTCGCGGCACAGCAACAGTCTCGCGTCCACAATCTTATGCTGCACCCTCTCCAAACGTTGAGACGTCTTCTTCGTCGTGGCGATGACTGGTTCCAACGCACGAGGTTTGTGCTTCWCCAATCCGGCCCTCTCCTCGTCAAGCTCCGTCCTTCGTTGCTTCAGTTCCAATTTCTTCGCCGCCAACCGTTGTTTCATCTGCTCCGTCTGCTGCCTCAACTCCTCGGCCTTGTCAAGTATGGTGCTGATCCGCTGCTCGGTGAATTCTTGCTCGGCTCGTGACTGATCCACACTGTTCTTCGTGATACTCCGTGTGAGCGCATCCAGATCCGTATCTTCTGATACTGCAGCTAGGACTCCATCATTGCCAGGCCGAATCACGGCCTCGGCATGGGAGTGTGACTTCTCGCGGTCAAGCAAGGCCGTGGTGTGGCCCATACGGGCGTTGTAGAGAACAGCCCGAGCGCATCCCGCGCAGAGAGGCTTCCTCTTCCAGACGTTGAAGTCTCGGAAGCAAATCTCGCAATCCATCGTGGTCGTCATGTTACGGAAGACGACGGCTGGTTCGATATTCTATCGAGGAATAGCGGGAAGAGCTGTTTAAGCATCGTGGTCGCGCTTGTCAGATGAGTCAGGTGGATGACTATTTACAACGACATGTCAGCTTGCTGCGTTGGACTTGTGCATGTAGGAATAACGCCTCCTATCAGTGAATGAATGGAGATGGACGGGAGATGGGAGATGGAAATCGGCCGTAGAATGTCCGGACGTCGGGTGACAAGGGTCCACGCGACTGCCTTGAGAGGCCCTGACCACTTAACGCGACTTCTTTCACTTTCTTGACTCGCCTCACGTAGACGTTGAACAATGACAAAATGTCAATGTCGGCAGCGCCGGTGAGCAGCGATTTRCCAGCTCCAGACGACGTACAGGGTGTGAAGTTGGAGGCCGCGCCACAAGAAAGCGACGCTTTCAAGACTGCACTCAGCACAACGCCGCCAAGTTCACCTCCCATATATCAAAGCACAATGGCCTCTCAATCACGAGATATGCCACCACCTACCGCGCCCGCGTCCAAGACACGCAAACGCTCACGTGGTGAATCGGCGGATGTCGCGATACATGTGCCCGAMAGCTCTGCGATTGTCATCGACGTGGACGACCCGTTCTCTACTCAAGACCAGCAACGAGACACGACAACTGACTTTACAGCCGCAAAAATGCCAAATGCGCAGAATCAACACCAGGCACAGAGCTTGCAGCGAGCTCCAGCGTCTGCACAGAGCGCCGACGTCACTCACAGACAACGCATCGCTGTCAAATCTGAAAAGAGCTCCCACCAATTCAAACAGCCATCCCAGCAGGAGATTCTCCGCGAAGATGAAGAGCCAAGTTCGGACATTACCACAACATCCAACGATCCCGGTCTGCCAGAGGAACGCATCGAGGACTTCGACTGGAGTGAAATGGAGGGTCGCTATCATCGGAAACTGCAAGAGGTGCAAAAGAAGGAGCAAGACAACTTTTCGGAGCTCGATGACTTGGTTAAGGTGACGCTCCCAACTCAAACGGTCTCTCTTTCGTTGCTAACTTGGCCGTAGTTCTTCGGCATTTGGGCAGAAATGGGTGCTCGGAAGGAGGATGATCGAGGCTTCAAGCGGTTCGTCATGTATTGCAATGTTGCTCCTCCTGCATTACTGACAATCTTTCCACCCAGTCTCAAGACACAAATGACATATGTCCAGCACGAGGAAGGTGAACTCGAGAAGAAGCGTCTGCATTGTACGTACAACATGCTTCTGATCATTGATCGGTCTACTGACATGGCAACACAGACATACGAGTTGTCGATGCTTTCAAGAGTGCGCTTGAACTCCTCGCAAATTGAGGAGAGCATGGTAATAACTTGTCTTCTAGCTGTCGGTGTGATGTTGAAGGAACCTAATTGGGCTCAGTCGTTCATCCCAGACCACAGATCGCTTTCCAGAGTGCGTCGTTCCATCTCGAGAGGCGCCGCTACGAGCGACAATGCGCTTGCGAGGAAACGCAAGCGGCCCTTGATCGTAGCTGAAGAATGGGGTGCACGAGTTGTGGATGACGTGGACATGAACAGGTTCGGATGTCGAGAACGTCACGTTGCTCGGTGTGTCATTTTGTGATGATCGCAAGAGGAGGTGGATGATGATGATGATGTTCTTGCTGGCCTGAACCTTTCACGCTATATACCCACTAGATGTCATGAATACTGCAAGTTGAGATTTCATTTTCTTCGTGGCACCAGTTGCTGCATCACTGCTTTTCTCGTGCTTGGACATCTCACGTGTGCACGTTCAAGGTCCCTCGATGTGGAGTGAGCTCTCAAAGACTCGGTATTCAAGGACTCAGTATAAGAGAACGCATATTGGCTTGATGAGGCACCACCGATGACATTCGCCGTAAGCCCAGTAGCAAGTAAGTCAATAATACAATAGCCTCAATCGATCGTCACATGCTACATTCCGCAGTTTAGAGCATTCCTACCGTCGTCGATGTGAGACATCGACTACCCCAACCCCAACCCTAACGGAACCAGCTCTTCCCCACTCACGTCACCCTCAAACATCACATCCAAAACTTCTCCCCAACGTCCCACAATCCATCATGGCCGAACAACAACCAAACCCAATCGTCTTCTTCGACATCGCACTAGGCGGCGAGCCTCTTGGCCGCATCAAATTCGAGCTCTTCGCCGACTCAGTACCGCGCACAGCAGAGAATTTCAGACAATTCTGCACAGGCGAGACCAATGGACCATCAGGTAGACCACAAGGCTACAAGAACAGCAAATTCCACAGAGTGATCAAAGACTTCATGCTCCAAGGTGGCGACTTTCTCAACGGCGACGGATCGGGAAGCACATGCATATACGGGACATCGAAATTTGGCGACGAGAATTTCAAATTGAAGCACGATGAGCCTGGACTTTTGAGCATGGCGGTGAGTTTGACGGTATCTATTGAATGTGGCCGATGCTGATGGTATCCAGAACTCCGGTCCAAACACGAATGGCTCACAATTCTTCATCACTTGCGCGGCAACACCTCATCTGAACAACAAGCATGTTGTCTTTGGAAAAGTCGTGGAGGGAATGGATGTTGTGCGGAAGATTGAGAACGTGCGACTTAGAGGTGAGAAGCCTACGCCGGACGTAACCATCGCTCAATGTGGTGAGATGTGAACCACCCTGCTCGGACTGGAATTCGTGGAATCAACACCTTGCGAACTCTGCCACTCATAAGTACCTCTTCACGGATTTGACGGACGACAAGTGCAAGTCATCTCATCAATACAACTGGGAAGGACTTCTCTTGATCGAAGTCGCATTACTGCAAGGCCGTGGCATAGACGTAAACAACCCTCAACCCGATCGCTCAGGCATCGAGCATCTCGGTCGAGCACAATATATACATCTCGCTGAAAAGTAAGTTCTCTGTCCATAACTTCTTAAACCCATCTGCCGTGAAAAATTCTTGCATTTCTGAAAAACGCAAACTTCGAGGAACACAACACCATCGCTACGCATCGCGGGGGGAGGTATCATTCATAAAACAAACATTAACATTTCAATCCTTGCCCGCGAACAAGGAAGCGCATCCCCAGAACTGCTCAACACCGAGGTCACCTGGAGCCTTCCAGGTGTCGTCCTCAAAGGAGAAGATGGCAGACTTGGAGCCGGCCTTGGAGACAATGGAGTCGATGGCAGCCTTCTGCTGGGAGTAGCCAGGAATGGCCTGACCGTTGGCGTTACCAGCCGAAGGCCAGCCGGTCTCGAGGTTGTAGGCCTCCATTCCATTGCAAGCCTTGGAGAGAGATGCCATCTCGCTGACAACAAAGTCACCGGAGCCGGAGGCGGAGAAACCACCGTTGAAGAAGGGGTGGATGTTGGCAGCGACAACGTCAATGACTGGGCAGAGAGTATCGGCGTTCTCAATGATGACGGCGACAGTGTCGGTAGTGGTGATGGGACCGGTGTAACCAGCAGCCTTGAACTTGGACCTCATCTCGGTGATAAGAGCAGCCAAAGCGGATGCGGTGGTGAATCCAGCAAAGACGGCCTCGTTTCCGGCAACGACCATCTCAACCATGCTCCACTTGTCCTTGCCCCAGGTGGTGAGAGTGTTGATCTGCTCGTGGGTGTCCTCGCAGATGCCCTTCTCGTCAATGTACACACCGAGGATCATCTTGAGGCCCTCGGCCTCGCAAGCAGCACCGACATTCTGTGGACCAGAGCAGTCCGTCGCGTAGATGCGGACAGTGGTGAAGCCCTTGGACTTGATGGCCTGGATGTCCTTCAGAACGGCACCGGCGGACTTGCAAGAACCATCTTGAGCGTAAGGGGTGTAGGTCATGGCCCACTGGTCGCCATTGGGCTTGATTCCGGCATAGCTGGTAATGTCCTTGACGGCATCAACGACGTTGTCAAGCAGTGACTTGGCCTTGGTAGAGGGAGCTGGCACCGCAGCGTATGTTGTTGGAGATGGAGCAGCATAGGTGCTGGGMTTGGCCTCCTTCTTTGAGGATGAAGAGGGCGCGGCGTAGGTGCTGGGCTTGACCTCCTTCTTCTCCGAGGAAGTCGATGTCGAGTAGACAGGGGGAGGCGCAACACTGCTCGTGGTGGTGGGAGCAGCGTGGGTGGTGGAAGTGGAAGATTCCGAGGTTGACGATGGAACTACGGGCCACACAATGGTGGGCTCGCCGTACCAGGTCGTCGTGTAGGTGGAGTAGGAGGCAACGCAGGCCGAAGTCGAGTTGACGGCCTCGGATGGCTTGGCATGGTAGTCGACATGCTTCTTGTGCAAGTTGGCGTGGGCAGCGTGGACGCTGCCAGCCTGGACGGAAGCGACCAAGCCCGAGGCGAGGAGCGCAGCGTTGAAGAGACCCATTATTGTATGAAGATACTGACTGATAGACCGCTGAAAGAGTGAAGCGGACTGTCGATTAAAGCGAATGGACGTGGGTCGTTCGAAGCGTACGCGCGTGTCGTCGTTACAGCGAAGAGCAGCGACGAAGCGGGCGCCCACCTACATTTTGATTCCTTTCGGCCACTTGGATTCGCGCGAAATGATCACGTTGGACAATTGTTAGGCTCTGCCGCTATCGATGTTTGTGGCGATAAGTTTAATGAGGCCGTTCATGAAATGCATGGGGAAAGGTTCGGCAGGAGCGGGCGCTCCRCTATTTGGGTAGCGCTCATTGGGTGAATCCTCCCGCACAGGCCCAATCCACGCTCATGCGCAAATTGCTATAGCAGATCTGCATCGAGGATGATGAGAGGAGTTAACGCTTTTGTCCTCTGCACCGATGGGAAACTCACGGAAGAGTCGACCTGACAACCAAAAACGTGAGAAGGGTGACCAAATCTCTTCGATTGCCCATCCGTTATCAGAGATCCTCACCTCGGAGTTGAGGACTTCACACCCGCAAGACATTTCTGCAATCTTGTCGCTTGTGACGGCTCCATCCTTCACAGGATCYCCTAGGTTATTTATGCAGCGCCTTGCCGCCGCCGCCACTTCTGGACTACTCCACCGTGCGTGCCCTCGATGCGAAGATGGGCTCTTGGCGGCACAGCGGGTCTTCAAGGAGCGAGCGGCAATAATGCGCACCAGTCGCGAATCATCAGTGCACTTTCAAAAATCTCATGACTCCTGGCGCTTCACGCCCCCTGGATGTGCTGCCAGATGAGGCTTTTTCTGCTCCAGGAGGATTTATAAATGTTCAAAGGTATCGCCTGCCCGGATCCGATGCTAGGAACTGCTGTTGCGTTCGGCTTCATGAACACTTTGAAGTCCGATCTGTATCATCAAGACCAGCCTTGCTCTGAACCGCGTTAAGGCATGGTTTGCCTGTCGCGCGACCGCAATGGCTATATCGAGTCTGGTCTGGGGGTGATGGTTCCTAAGACTTCAGTCTCACATCCTCTTTCACACGGATGTAGATCTCCCACTCTACATCGTCGATTTTCTTCTTCCAAGTCAGCATGTCATGTCATGGTATGTCGCTATGTTACAGGTCTCCCGCGACTGACAGGAACAGTGCCCTGGCTTGWCTCGCGTTGGCGAAGGACTGCGCTGTTCATTCCGTCATCTTGACCAATGGCGCATCAATGCTGTTGTGCATGTATCTCATTCATTATTGCAAGTCAAGGGAGCGCTGAAGGGAGTGCGGCGGGACAGTACTCGAACCTCTTAGGTCTTCGATATCTCTAGCAATAGGACTGCAGAACGGCAATTCCAATTGAAGAACAGAGCACTCATCCTAAATACATGTCCTCTCGTCTCGGCAAAAGATGCTAGGGATGTGGTCTTCGAGATAGTATCAAACAAGTTTACCGTGAGTTCCACCGCGAAGAAAGGGAGTCTGTAAGGACCAAGCTCGTGAAAGCTATACCGCATCGCACTGTGCATGCAATTGTTATCTCATCGGACCACTTCATGATCTTCAGCTGCCTTACGCGGTTGCACAATTGGCGTAAATCTGCCTAGCTGGCAGTACTCTAAGATATGCATCTGATCGAGATAGAACGTAAAAGCTTTGCTACCATTAATCGCAATACGAACTCCTTGTATACAGTCCACATCCCAACAGTCGCGATATCTTCAGCGAATCTCAAGCCGGATCCGATCTTTCTCTCGCAAAACTGATTAGCAAGGTGTCAGTCAATCACTCACTCACTCGACACTCAGCGTTGGCACTAGGACCAGCAAAAGCGAAATTTCGCGGGACCAAAGCATTACGTTTTAACGAGGGAAAACAATGGCAAAAAAGAGTCGATAAACACATGAAAAAATCCCGTTCGTTTTGAGACCTTCTCGAAGACGAAAAAAACGATTTCCTCCGGGCAGGCTTGAACTGCCAACCTCCCGATCACTAGCCATTGCTGGCATAACAGTCGAACGCGCTAGCCAATTGCGCCACGGAGGAAGAACTGAGCGTAAATGCTTATTGTTGGAGAGGTCGGCGGCGAGAAAATTTATATCAGCTCAAATTTTGAGGCCGCAGTAACGCCGACGGCGACAACTCGAAAGAGCTTCCTTTGCTCGAGGTCTTTCGAGCTTCTCGATCTAACATTCGCTCCTACACTTGTCTGCTATCAAAAGCTAGGCACCAGGCATCCTTTATCAATAGTTCAAGACGAATCCCTATATGAGTCCCGAAATTGAAGTCGAGGCAACTTCTGTCTGACAGATGCATAAAAGTCAGAAGGACCGCCAACAAAACGTGTTCACGCGTCTTCGTTCTCAACTTACAACTTGCTCTGTATGTTACTCGACCATCACCTATTTGAGGATACCCGATTTCTCTTAAGATGTTTCGAGCCTGCTACGAGCACTGCGGAGACTACAGTAACACTGAAAAGATCCCCTTCGACGAAGAAAAGCGACRGGAAGGCGAAGCTCTACCTCCATCGCGAGTTATTATCAAGAAGCAACCCTTACAAAGCGAGATATGCCATGCAGTCGACAACATAGCACAAGATAAGTAGGGTGAATGGACGTCTTCCGTGCCTTTATCAGGTCCATGTGCCGACCCGCGACTGTCTATGGATGAGTCTAGTCCAATTGGACTCCCGTTGAATAAGACAGATTCTCAAAAAAAATCATTGCGGCGAGTCATCAAGCGCCAACGTAGATCTATCTCTATGAGAAGTCGTAACTAGTAGGCCTAGTACGAGGATGTGTGATGATAAGCTGCAGTAGGTGTTGCACTGCACTCCAAAAGGACTTCACGCAAGGAGAGACCAATCTGGTACCACTCATTCCGTTTCACCAACACGGAGCGACAATGCGACACATACAAGCGGGAGCTGCTGGTCATCGTGCGGTGCGCCTGGAAGTCCCGGCACATGMTGGACGTCACCGAGGTCTCAACCATCTACACCGATTAGAAGCCACTTGTAGGGTTCATGAATTCAGATAAGGTACCCACGAGGACATTTTCTTCCGTTGGGTGCAAAAGCTCCGCATGTTGAATGCTGGGATGGAGTGGATTCCTGGCAAGAAGAACGCAGCAGCGGACGGACTTTCAAGGACCATTTTCGATTTCGACGACGACAGATAGCCTTCGACATTTCGGGTACACTGCTGGAGTTAGACGTTCGGATAAAAGAACAGAATGTGATTCAGGTCGATGTCTCTGGCGATGAGAGGGAACCTGATGACAAGGCCCGTGGAGCATATAACGGAAATACTAGAACCGAAGATCGGTTCCGGCATCGAGATACTATAAGTGGCCTGTTCTTCTGTTCGGAGGCTTTAATAACATCCTGTAGGTCATGCCTGACATCTGCTATCACACTGCTACAAGCTCTCGTAAAACAATCGGAAGCCCAGACACAAGACCAAGGAGCCAGAGGGAGGCTTCGTGGCAGCCATAGTGATCTGTGGCTCACATCTGAAATCGACAACGATCTTACCCAGAAGATCAAAGCTGGCGTTGCAAATACGACTTCGTCCGAGCAGCCAGAACGAATCTACTTGCCTACTGTGAACCAGCTCATGTCTGAGTATGATTGTGAAGAGCTGGAGGAACAGACGAAGACCACAATGTCCAAGTTTTTCACAGAAACTCTGGTGGAGCTTATCGTTCGTTCTATTTCGAAGCGATCGATAAGTTCTGGCCTCTGGTCTCGTCCAAGAATTTTGTGCTCTTGCAGTGACTGCCAATGACTCAACGCCTTTCTACGCAGCTCAACTGAGTGGGTTGGTCGATTCCCGCTGATTAAGATGAGGCGTCTTCACATCTATCAGAAGCTAGATAGGTCTCGGCAATTCTGTACCCATGAGACCGAACATTACGGTAGACCTCAGACATTGGTAGTGACAAAAATTGACATGGAGCTCGTATGGCTTCAGCTTAGACTGCTCGGGCTCGAAATATCGTCGCGAAGCTGCATGGACTTCCTGAAGACTTGCTCAAGCGGGCTGTAGGCGAGAAGTCCGACCGCATATCGAACTTGTGGGATGTAATGAGCGATTGGAAGAAGGCGCCGATGGGTCTGCAAGCCACAGTTGCAGGATCTGCAGCTGAGTGTTGTAGTGAACGTGACTGCTGGAGATACGACGAAGCTCAAGGGGGGGGGGGGGGGGGAATTGATAGAAATAATGCAGCCTGCGTCGAAAAAGAGGGCACCTGTGGAAGTCATTGAACTCTGCGATTTTAACATAAAAGTCATCTCAATCAAATGGAGGCTATGTATTAGCAACCGATTGGGCATGCCGAATGCTCGTCTTGCCGTGGAATGCTTCGGGCATGCAGCAGAACAAAGGGCAATCTTGAGATCGTCTTCTTCGAGGTCTCGCTACCTGTCCATAGACCGAGCGAAAAAGTTTAGGGTAATTCAAGATTTTCTATAGAATTTTAGGTCGAGGCTCAACTGCTCATAACATTATCATACCGGCACATCGTGGGAGGGTACACATTTCATGGTGACTAGCGAGTGTAGGTATTGCGAATTCCATCCTGTTGTTGTTGGCGTAATTGAGAATAGTCGAAGGATCCTCTAAGACCAGTATCAATCAGGGCATGTTTCAAACCAGCAGATGGCCCGTTGGTTTGGATTTTGTTGAATTGAGTATAGATAGACGGAGGATCATATAACTCGCCAGTTATGCAGCAGGATATGGTTGGATTCAAGAACATCACTAAATGCGTGCGTGTAGCTAGGAACACAAAAATTCCTTCGGCTACGAAATTCATATATCAGTTCACGACCCAATCACGCAGCTCAATACGGATTTTTCCTCATATTTCTTACTTCATCCAGTTTTCCAACACAATAAAAGCGAAAGATAGGTTCCAACTGCTAAGATGTCCGTCTACTAAATCGTCACTTTCAACGCTCTTCCTGGAGCTAATGAGGAGAGTCTCCCTGCTGTAAGCCATCCCTCTAGTCCCCTGATCATCGGTCATTGAAGGATCCTAGGCTCCTAGATCATGACTGTTTTGGGATACTTGACTGAATACCGCAAATGCAGTCTCTCGTGGTTCACCTCATTTAAGCTCTTCTGTAAGAGGTTAGCTCCGTTGCCTCTGCCCACTCGTTTCTGCTATTTTCGAAAAGCTTACTTGTGAAAAGTCGACAACTCAACCACACAGAAGGAAGTTCCAGTCTTCTACGCCTCGACGTCAAGTACTTGTACAAAGGGACCTCACTATTATCGGGCTTTAGCTCGTGCCAACCCCTGACTTACCATCGTAGAACTCCGCGCACGAACCCGAGGTATTATCAAAGCGGAAGTGCTTTTAAAAGGTATGTGGTCCGATCTCGCCAGCGGCGAAGCATAGCTGACCGACGAAATCTACGATTCGCACCCTCGCTGACACCATTCTCCAATCTTGTTTGCTTTCACAAAGGTTCTTCCGAGCAAAATGCCAACGATGAATGGACACCACTCGATCATCTGCGTATTCAAATCCACTTCCAATCTATCATATTCCGGCGTCGATGAGAACTGCATCCTCTAGTCGGGGGCGTGGAAGAGGAAATCCAGGGGCGACCATCAGAGTTGCAGGACTTGGATACTAGACTTTACCATCGCCGTCAGGCCTGATGATGGATGGGGACGTGTTCCATATCACGAGAGACTGCAAGTCGCCACTTGGATTTTGCAGCTCAACCTCAAGATACGCGCTTCTTTTCCGCGTTGGAGTTTTCCGACAAGCCGTATCTCTTGCCTCGTCTGGGCTGGACTTCCCGCTCACTACGTCTTCGATGACGATTTTGACGGATCGGCGGGCATTCTGGGGAGCCGTGTGTGTCGTGTCGAAGATTAGAGATGGTGTTGCATGGGCTACTAGAAGCCTTGTACAAACATTGGGTCGATTTTGGAGCCCTCGCACAGGGACATGGCGAGCACTATCCGGATGAAGCATGACAGCTTCGAGATAGACGGCGGCTTTGGGATGCCCGGCTCAACTGCTGAATGTCCGCCAAGAGGCGAGGTTTTAGATGTAGTTTGTGCCCCGTTTGAGCGGCTGTGTATGCCTCGTCCGCGATGGGGTCATTGGAWTAGAACTGCCACCTGGCTAGGGCGACAGATGGTTCTTTTCGTCAGTTCCATTATTTTAATCCAGGATCTATCGTCATTGCGATTGCGAGGGAATCTCTCATTGGAGTTTGAATGCCATTCTCGGCTTGCAGTTTGGAAAATTGAGGCTACAAGCACAGACTGTAGAGGCCATTGGAGAATGTGCATCTTGTTCCCTGTTCCTTGGAAGACGCCGCACATACTAGTATGTACGGAATCCGTGCCATCGAGTGTCCGGACCTATGCCAGATAATGGTCTATACCTAGGAGGATTTTGCAATCAATGCATGTCACGTTAGACTTGATCTGAGATTCAAGCAATGGTTTCCTCTCTGATACCAGCCATGTCCGTTTGACCTGAGCCTTGTATGATGGCGAGCTGTTACTGGAGCCCTGCTCGCAGGCATAACATCATATGTCTGCCATTTCTTGCTGTCCCTCATCGTCTCTCGTTCTTGCCATGTCCATTCAGTCGCCTTCAACCGGAATCATCTCCATGCAAGGCTTCGGCATGCTGTCATGCTCCTTTGTCAGCGAGTATCGCTCAAGTTCATGTCGGCTGGCAACGGGAGAAAGCAATAGGGGTGAAGTTGGTTTGTTTGTCCATGGTCTCCAATCCAAAACAAAAGTGGTGGGACAAGGCCCCAATTCGATGACCCCAGACTTCACCCTCAGACCACCTTGCAAGTCAATAACCACCTCCGCATGCATGTATGTACACTCCGTGGCAAACGTCATTACGAGGTCTCAATACACCTCCCAAGGCCCTTCGGAGAGCTTGCATCCAGAATGAAAGGCATTCTTGCCAGACATGGGCCTCTTTCCATTCGGCCCGCTCGAGGTAATACATACGGCTTCGGTCCAGGCCCGGCGGCCGATGGTGCCACGTCCATTGTCGAGCCCAGCGTAGTGCGAGTACCTCACTTGAGTAACCAGTAAGTCACAAAGCCATGAAGTAACATCGTTCGAGAAGACAGAATTGCTGGGGCCAGCTGAATTCACATCAAATTACGTAGGGCTCGAATCCTTCACATGCTGCGAGCGTGGGAGGACATGACGGGTGCTAGACCGAAAGAGGCAAAATTGAACATGGGAGGATCCTTGTGCTATGCGCGATTTATCAACCACAGACACGGCACGACTATCGCCTATACACTTTAACACGGCGTCCGCCACGTGCCAGCCACATGGTAGCGACGGCCACGACGTTGCTAATTTTCTCGGACAATTTACACACTCACAGGGATTACGTTGGTGTATTTGTGGTGAAGATTTTTTGCTTATCCGACATACGCAACTACCTTACCTCTCTCTTCCCGCAGAGTTTATATGCTTGCTTCTCTTTACCATGCTCATCGCATCATCGACTACGCACCGTACTTGGGCTTTCTTTGCACTCCGCAACTCGACATGGCCGGCCCGAATGATCCTAAGCAGACGTCTGACGTCTTCACCAGTACAGGCTTCACCAGTGGGATTGAGGAAGGCATTGTGAGAAAGCCCATCATCCAATGTTTTGTTTGGAATAACTTTGCTAACATAATGWGTGCGATTTGGTAAGGTCTTCAGCCGTACCCGAACCAGAGCTGATCCTTTCAGTCGTACCCTTGCCTCGAGGATCCCCGATGCGGACGACGCTGTAGCATCCGGTCTACGGCGTCCGACGGACGTGAAACATGCTCAGGTCTTTAAAGGCTCGCAGTTGCTGTTTCTGGCCTACCAGAGTATTGGTGTCATCTACGGTGATATCGGCACATCGCCCTTGTAGGCCAGACCCCTGAACACAAGAGCTGTAGCATGATTCAGAAATGTCTCGTATTACACGGGCCTTCGTTTCCTACCTTGCTCTTCTCACAGATATCGCCAACGTCTTTGCTTATCGGATGTAGGTATGTCTTCTCCAGCGTCTTCGGGGATGAAGCCCCTTCCAAAGAGGATCTCATTGGTGTACTGTCTTTGATCATTTGGAGTTTGATCATGATGGTCACTGTAAAGTATGTGTTTGTGATCCTCAGCGCCGACAACGAAGGAGAAGGCGGGACATTTTCCTGCTACAGTCTACTCTCCCGATATTCTCGAATTGTTCATAGGGACCCTCGCGAAGAGCAGCTTGTAAGTTTCCCTTTCCAGCTTCCAGAGCGCAAGATCCGTGGAGTACCCGTATTTGAGTGCGTATGGTGCTCTGTGGGGAGTTTGGGATACTTTTGGTTGTTGGCCGACGAACTAGACAAATATTGACGTGTCTTGTAGGTGGATATCCAGCGATATGAAACCAACGACATGCGACCGTCGAATTTGAGAGTCAGAAACTTTATGGAAAGAAGCGGGTTCTTCAAAGGATTGTTGAAGGCGATTGGCGTGCTCGCTGTTTCAATGGTACGCAATGCCCATACTTGATGAGGGCGAGACTCAGTATTCTTTTACCTCCCTCGCATTTCTCTCCCGCCTCCAGCTGTATTGGGCATCGCTGATCCTTTTGATCTTCACTGCAGGTCATAGCAGATGGAGTACTTACTCCGGCTCAATCGATTCTGGGAGCTGTAAGTAGAGTGTCAAGACATAGGTCCCACTACTTGATGAACACGTTCACCAGGGAGACACTTTCAACAACTGCTGACATGTCTGCTCTGCGCTTGTAGGTACAGGGTCTCGAGGTCGTAGTGCCGGACATATCAAACGGAACCGTGGTGGGAACTACGTGTGGAATTATCGTTCTTCTATTCGCAGTCCAACCGTTCGGTACAGCCAAGATCGGAGCTACATTCGCCCCCGTGGTCATTCTATGGCTTGGCATGCTGGCTGGATTCGGGATATACAACCTGGTCCACTACGATGCCAGCGTCTTTGTGGCTTTCAATCCAGGCGAGGCTTTCTCCTACCTCATACGACATAAGGAGCCTGGATGGCACTCTCTGAGCGGRGTTCTGCTTGCATTTACAGGGGTTGAGGCTCTCTTCGCGGACTTGGGCGCCTTTTCCAAGCGAGCTATTCAAGTCAGTTGGCTGGGATGGTGTTTGCCTTGTTTGTTGCTGGCGTACATCGGTCAAGCTGCATACCTTTCTGTGCACCCTGAGGTCTGTTGTGCCACTTTTTGAAAACTCCAGGACCGATTTGGAAACTAACAAATCTGAAAGGCCTACGCGTATCCGGTGTTCAGCACAGCTCCCCCTGGATGTAAGATCCCTGCCTTGGTGGTCGCCGTACTAGCAGCTATTGYGGCATCCCAGGCGATCACTACTGCAACATTCCAACTTCTCAGGTAAGCCCACCAAAATTTGGCTCGAAGCTTTACTAACCCATTAATAGTCAAATCATTAAGTACGGCCAAAGATTAATACAGACCATGCTGTCTTCTGACACAACGACAGGCTTTCTTACTTTCCTCAAATCGAGATCAAGCATACGAGCAAAATGTGAGGCTCATAGGGCGGAGATTGCGCTTGGCCAATCTCGACGGCCAAATTCTACCATTCTACCTCTTACAGTATCATGCTGACTGCAAATAGATTTCACAACCAACTCTACGTACCTCTTGCCAACTATCTGCTCATGATTGGAGCAGTGGCGGTCACGGCTGTGTACCGGAACACTACAGTATGTCTTCAATTACAAACCCTCTTGGGCTCTTGGGGAGAAGTCTGTCAGTGAGCTAACGTGTCTAGCGTCTCGGAAATGCTTACGGAGTGTGCGTTATGTTTGTCACCTTCTTTGGTAAGATTTGCTGCCTCTGTCCCGAATGCATGTTGCCAAGAATCCATTCATTCATCTCGTGGAAAAGATGTCTTGGCGAAAGCTTTGTACCCCTTKCACCCCCTTCTCACAATCTTCTGCCGCAACGCTAACACCATCCACCTACTCCCAGATACTTGCATGATAACCCTAGTAGCGCTTATAATTTGGCGCATACGACCAATCTACGTCGTCATCCCAGCTCTAACCATCGCCGCCATGGACGGCGCATTTCTTTCCGCCGCCCTCACCAAAGTTCCCCACGGAGCCTGGTTCACAATTGCTCTGGCAGCGGTTCTTGCATGTGTCTTCATCCTGTGGAGATTCGGCAAAGAGCAGCAATGGGCCGCGGAAAAGGAGGATCGTATTCCGCTTTCGCAATTTGTGGAGCTTAATGCTGGTGGGGAATACCCCCTGGCTGCTATTAATGGCCAACAAGGAGGAGGAGAAGTCTTGTCGCGGAGTCGTGGACTCTCTGTCTTCTTTGATAAGGGGGGTATTAACACACCTCAGGTCTTCAGCCAATATATTAATAAGCTTGTAAGTGATATCTCCAGGCGGGAGCTTGCGTGCGCAACGGAAAGAGTTGCATACCATGCTTGGAACAGATTCCCTCTGCGAGAAGACTGAAGATGAACTAACACTTATCTTCAAATTACAGGTAGCAGCTCCAGAAATCGTCGTCTTCTTCCACCTGCGGCCCCTTGAGTATCCCACGATTCCAGCATCCGAGAGGYTCGTGGTCTCTCAAATAAAATCTCTCACAAACTGCTACAGGTAAGCATCACCAAATAACGAACGATCATTTTATCATCTTCACAAAAATCCTGCCTTCCACTCATCACAGCTTACTCATAAAATCAACAGAATTGTCTGTCGACACGGATACATGGACGAAGTAATAACACCAGACCTGGCCTCAGTAATCTACTTCCACCTACGAACCTACCTAGCCGACAAAATCCGACCAGCATGCACCGACGACCCCCGTCCCGGCGAACTCTCCTCCACATCAACAGTCGTAAACGGCGAGCTAGGAGATTTCCCCGAGAAACAACAACCCACCGTCGCTGGAAATGCTACTGGCGCTGAGGAGGAGATCTGGAGGGATGATTCCCCCATCTCATTACTGGAATCTGCGTATAGACATAGAGTACTTTATATTGTGGGCAAACAAGAGATGTATATTCAACGAGGAGGGCGTTCGATTTGGAGGTGGTTGGTTCTGAAGATTTTTTTGTTTTTGAGGGAGAATTCTAGGGGGAAAGTGCAGAATTTAAAGGTTCCTACGGATCGATTGGTGGAGATTGGGTTTGTGAAGGATATTTAGCTTGAGAGGCAAGGCATAAAGGTAAATCAGTCAGCGATTGTGACACTCCAATCATCTCGAAGCCTGGGACCAGAGCTGGGAAGCCATGCGGGCTGGATGAGTCAGGCCTGAAATGCTCATGCTGTGTAGAGAGTCATATGAATGGCTATTATCGACGTCGCAGGGGAACCACAGCATTGTGGAAAAACAGACATGATCGAAGCACCTCGCCTTCCAACATGGCCAGTTCACGACGCTGATTCCATCTCCGTCTGCTTCGAATCGACCCCTTTCTTCTTGCCATCTCCCTCCATCATCTTAGTGGCCCCCTCCATACTATCCTTCAAAATCCTCTCAATCGCCTCCACAGCTTGAATCTGACGTCTCTGCCCCTTTCGAGCCTCGACCTCATTAGCAATCGTCTGCTTCCACTTCTTCTTCGAAAACTCCGGCTGCATAATCTTATAGGCTTCAATAACCGGATCAAAAAGAGCCTTGGTACTCGTCTTCTCTAAATTTCTCACAATGTCCGCTTGATCTTGTGTATCCTGTGGGGTTCCCAAAGCGGCGAGAACCAATTCTCGAAATTTCTCATCGAATGTCTTGGCGGGATCATTGTCGTCGTTGTTGTAGTTCTTCGCGTCGGGAGATGCTCGGGCGTCTTCGGTGGTGAATCTGCCGTTGTTCTGTGGGAGCTTGTAACGGGATAGGCGAGTGAGGTCGCTTATGTTGCTCGCTGGTGAATGTCTCTCTCTATGAGACCTTTCGGAATCAACCACGCTCGAGGGGGAAAAGGGGCTTAAATAGTAGCATCTAAAAGTTTGCTTCGTTATGAAAGTGCAAACGCATACCTACTTTACCGTACATAATGGACGATCGTTGTAGTTTTGACCTTGGATTTGCTTTTGAAAGCATTTTAGAATTGAAGAGCCAGCGTAATAGCAAGCGGTGAGGCGCCTAGAGTAGCCCGATTGATATCCAGCTCGACACTGGATATAGTGTATTTATGAATAAAACTATGCCCCGTCAGCGTTCAAAAAACCCCATCATATAGTAGTAGTAGCTTCTAGCGGGACATACCCTCTGCTCGGGGGTTACTCTTCCTCGCAAAACTAAGGCGCCATCTAAATCATCATCATTCTTACCCAATAGTCGATATCCTCTTCTGACATAACAAGTTGCGCGCCAAATTCATTGGGTTTGGGGTCATAAAATTCGCATGAGCCTGAGCTACAGACAAAGTGTAGGCCACGCCCTTTGACCCTACCGGCGAGCTGTAGGCGACTGGGTCTTCCGCAGTAGCATTCGGGATTATCAGCATGAATGCCACGTGTGTCGTCGAAAGTGATGAAGTTATCGCAACGCGTGCAGACCAGGTATGGACGGCCAGCGTTGCCATTTTCGTTCTCCTGTCTGACAATACGTCTGGCAATTGCGCTATCGCGGGCACAACACCTCCGACAGCTTCGTCCTGGGGGAGGCTTGCGGGTGCGGGTGCGGCCATGTTGGTGATGTAGGGCCTACCGTGACCATTCTTGTCTGTGGTCCGATGAGATGGATGGAGAGTCTGTAGGAGAGTAAGGCCGTGCTTGGACTTGATAGACGCAGGAGCGGGGTTTTTTTTTTTTTTTTTTTGCGATCTACTTTCCGACGAACAGAGAGCGAATGAATCCGTCTATATGCTGTCTGTCTGTCTATCTGACAGTGAGCGACGAAGCATCGCGATGGACATCACGATCACGATAGAGTTCCTGAATCTACAAGGTTACTACAACCATGCCTGTACAGATGACCATCAGCTTTTCCGATCTTCGAGCTCGTAGGCCCTGCGAAGTGGACGAACAGTCGACCCCATCATCAAAGCTGTACAGAGTGTGGCCCGCATACAGGAATCACGCTAAAGAGACAGGGAGGTTTTCATCCAATATGCGCACTCATTCTGTCGAAAATTGACGCGGATTGGATCGGACTTCCCGCTCAGATTTCCGTATGCACGACTGGGGCTGTAGTTCTTACCTGCGACATGGATGGTGCTGTAGTCGCAGTMAAGTCTGTGTCCTGGCGGTCCATCTGGAAAAAGTGACTTTGTCGATGCGAACGAATCTCCTGATTTCCATATGCCACCGTGGAGCTGTTCATACGCCGTCATATACGATGGGAGTGCTTGAGATGGAGCTACTTGTCCCACGCTGTAGCGAGACCGCCTGATGGAATAACCATCGCTCTACCCTTCAGTCGAAAAGGACGCCGGCGGTGCAACATGCACTTCCCAATACTTGGAGGTTTTCGGATCCATCTTTTCCTTCTGAAGATCCGTTCGAGTATCACTGCCATACTGTTCATGCGTGACACCAACATCCAGTACGCCTCGACGGCTACCGTTCCGAAGGAAAGTGAGGAAATCCATACTGACTCGCACGTACTCCCTCAGTCCCTCTTTGACGTTGATTGTTGCCCCGGTCGTCCAGGAGWGGAGTAAAGGTTCAATCAAAGGAGCATCTGTGACGCTTGGATGGGATGTTTTCAAACTTGTCATGAACCACGTGGCGCCAGTGCGCTCGAGCACGGMTTGGGCAATGTCCTTGACGGTGTCGAAGTGAGGTCTTCCAAAGAATAAAGAGTAGGTTTTCGACCATGATTGGGAGTGGACGATGAGTAGAGGAACGTCGATGTCGGGATTCAGTCGTCCAGATGATTTACCGGGATCGAGAATGATGCCGCCGACTGCTGGGTTGTCCCAGCGTTTTCCGGTCGTTTTGTTGGCGCTCTTCAAGGCCTGCATTGCTCCTGTCGCTCCGAAAGAATGACCAGCAATAATCAAATGGGAGAAGTCTAGTCGGTTTTCGAAGGCTGGCAAGTTTTGGCCTTCTTTACGGTAGTTCTTGTCAAACACTCCACGGCCTTTGCCGGCATGTAGAGCTCGCAGAACCGATACCGTCTCTTCGATTTCAGCATCTCGGAATGCTAGTTTTTGAAATCTCCAGTCATCGTTGGATACCTCATCTCCGGGGCCGCTCGGCTTGAGTTGGTCAGCTCGAAAGAGAAGGACGTCTTTCTTCTGGTTATTGGGAAGGTGAACGGTAGAGCCTGGACCTACACATTTGGAGCAAGTTTCAGCGAACAGAATGATCACAAAGGCTGTTAAATATAGTACTTACAGCTTCCATCTCTATGCTCAATTGCCGCAACGACAACTCCACGACTTGCAAGTTCTCCTGAGAAAGGCAATCAGTCGGTGCGATAATTGCGAATGGAGAATACTCACCAACGAGAGCAGTATAGTCGGTTCTCGATGATACGTCGCCGTGACTTAGTACGACCATCGGCAAGCGTGACAGCTCATCTTCATTGACGGAGGACTGTACCAGAGGTACATCCACATCTGCGGGAATCGTTATACTACTAGCGAGGCCCCACAGCATGAAGGTGAACAGCGGCCTCGAGATGAAGTTGTCGAAATGAGCTGCGATGGCATACCCTCTCGCAATAAGACTGATGGGCTTCGGAAACCACTTGTGATGCGGATGTACACTCCTGACTCCTTTCGCGGCGGGATAATACAAGGTGAAAAGGACAGTGTCAAGTTGGAAGGCCGGTTTGCTGTCTTTGAGAAAGACAGCATCGGAGATCTTTCGTGGTTCTTGCACAGGCACTTCAATATCGACGGCGCCAACACGATATCTGGGAGAGTTGGACAGTCAGTACGTTTCGTCGACAGGAGGACTTCTAAGCAGGAGGAGGAATTTAAAAGCCCTTCGTTGCTGTGAAATCTCGCTTCGTCTTTCGGCCTCACTTACGGTCCGGTGTAAGCTGGAAGTCTCGAAGCAAATAGAGGCGACCCGACAATGTAACAATAGAGGACATAAAGCGCCACGAGGGAGAACAGTAGGTAGCCTATCGTGAATCGTGGTCGAAGCAATTGTACGCTCCGCTCCCAGAATGAAGATTGGCCTTCTAGCCATCGAGGTCGAAGTGAGTCCATGTTGCCGTTGGCTTTGTTGAATAATCTCCTAGTCCAGGGCGGAGTCTGCTGTAACCACCGTGGCAATGATGTACCGTTGATCCCGTCTGCTTCGTATGTTGTTTCCAGTAAAGGAAGAGGCTCGTCCGGGTCATCCGCGTCTTCCAATCTTTCGTCTTCGTAGCGGGTCAACTCGAAGCTGTCATTAGCTATACTCGATGGCATCATTCGCCGGTGATTATTGATCCATAGTGCGATGGACCAGGGCTGGTTAAGGTACGAGGTGAAACGATTGAACCATGGATGTTTGACATCGTGGCGAGAGGAGATGAATCGAAGGATGACGTCATATTTGAATGCCTCAGGCGTCAGCGGAATATGACAGTTCTGTCTTGTCCCAGGCATAGATGAGGTTGACAAGTTGGTAATGTGCAAATGGATATTTCAATTGCAATATGTACTYAAGAAAGATAAGACGAACGCTTCGTAAAATCTTTAATCGTCATCAATAGCGCGATACTGTACATCGCTGCAATAGTCCTCCTCGTTCAACTCGACCTTTTTTATACCATCTACTGGCCCTTGTAAGACCGGCCAGGAAGTTCCCTAAAGGCCTCGTTGTTGAACTTGCTGAGCTGTGGGCAGTTCAATCCCGAAAGCTGTGGACCCAAATTCTTGCTCAGGAAGTCGAGCGTCTTGCCAAGAGGCTCGATCAATRGGAAGGCAGCGTCGGAGAGACCGGCCTGAGTAGCCTGGAGCATGAAGCAGGAGAGGTTGTTGCCCTCGGCGAGTGAAGGACCGTTGAAGACTCCGCCTGTGAGATCTCCGAGGTCGGCACCGACGAAAGAGTTGACTTGGCCGGCGTTGCCACCAAATCGGATGATACCAGGGTACCTGTGAGGTGAAGAAGGTTAGTGATGCTCGATACTGCCGGATCCAAAGGTGGAAGTCGGCGAAGCGAGGGAGTCTGTTTTGAACATCCCGCCTGAAACCTCTACTCCCCGCGGGTTGTACATACATTCTGTCGTTGATGACGGTGTCCACGTTTGTGTCCTGGAATCAAGGTGTTAGCGGTGCACCAAGTAATGTAGGGCCGGTGGGAGGGCCATATAGAGGCGCAAAGTCGAGCCCCCTTTTGGCCCTCCCGATCGGAAAACTTACAACTGTGTTCATTGGCTGCGACGTAGGGCGCTTGTACCAGTTCTCGGGAATAGCCTCTTGGCCCCGGTGGTGGACGAAGTTGCCAGGCTCGCCAGTAACAGCGAAGAAAGTCTTGAGAACATCACCGTGAAGGTCACCACCCTTGTTGGCCTCGGAGCGGTTGGACATGAAGTGAACCACGAAGTTGTGGGCGTCTGGAGCGACCAGTCCACTGAAGGGAGCTGRGAAGTAGTAGGGGTTGTTCTGGATGGAGTAGTCGGCGGTGTACTTGGCCTGAGCAGCAGCCTTGTCGTGGGTGAGACCGTCCTCGCCGAGTAGGCTGTAGAGGTGCTCCCACTTGTGCATCTCGAAGGCGCCGACGTTGCCATTGTGAAGGTAGGCATCTCCCTGTTTGAAGCGTTAGTCATGGGGAGGGGAACGGTGGGTGGGTTTTCTCTTACCCTCACGATCGAGGCATCACCCTCATATCTGTTGTGTGTGCCAACAATACCAGTTGGTCGTCCCAACAGGCTAAGAGCGCCGTCATATCCTCCACCAATGCTCCACGTTCCAGCAACTGGGTCGCCGGAGATGGCAATGGCAATAGCTGCCAATATCAATGACAGCTCGGGAGACATGCTGTAGGCGGCACCAAGACCGTCGATTGCTGCATCGATGGTTAGAACCCGTACATCCCATATCAAGCTTCAGATCCATCTCGAAACTCACTCTGCTGAATCGTAGCGATACCGTTACGAGGCAAGAAGGCGTGGTTTGACGCGGCGTTCAATCCAGGACACTGACCACGGGCATCGCTTGCCTTTGGTGACTGGAACTCATGCCCGCTGCCTGAAGTGACATCTACGTACTGATCCTCGGCGTTGAACACGGTACACCTGCATGAGAACAAACATGAGCGCTGATTCATCGAAATATCAAGCTGCATTCCAACTCACTTTCCGTGGGAACCGCAGTTGTCGCGGTCGGTTGTGAATGCGGGAGCACCGACAACAGGGTAGGTGACACGCTTGGCCATCTGTCCTGAGACGGCCTCCATAACTTGAGGGTACGCTGAAGCCAACGGCAGAGCCGCGGCGAGATACTGGATAGTGTTCTTCATTGTTGTAGTGTTGATACCGTGAAGAGGGTAGGGATTTGAGACAGTCACGAAGCAGTCTTTATCTTTCCTCATATACTGTTCCCTCGCTGACCTCAATGATCAACTGGTGGCGTTCTGAATCTCTTGGTTATAGCCACGCCTGCTGTTTTACCGAACGCATTAGGAATGGTTAGAGTGGAGGACGTGCGGTAGCGCATCTCGTGGCTTGGGGCTTGACATTAACCTCTTTTCGATTGGCAGGCAGCTCCTGAGACAAATTCAGCCTTCTCGTCGGCGCTGCTCAAACAGAAGTTTGACCGACGCCATCGCCAGGCCATTTTGCAGCTCCTCAAGCTCGAAGAGGAGAGTGCGAAGCCTGCCTGGTCACTCACTACATAGAAGCAGCTGCGGGAAGGCCAGATTCTCGCCTAATGGGCACTAAGCCTTACAGACCGTTGCCATCGAAATTCGTAGGCCTGATCGATCGATGTACTGGTATTGGTATCCGCAGCGCGTGAGAACAGTTGGGGTACTCAAGAAAGCCCTGCAGTAGGTGGCGGCTTTCGATTCGGTGCCTATACAGCTGTGTATACCACTCCAGACCAATGGTTGCGAAGCGATTTCCAACAACCAGCTTGAAAGATGACGCTGGGCGGTTCAAAGGACCACCGGATTCAGGCCAAACCGCGTTTTGCCGGAAGATCAGTTGCCTCTTTGGGAAGTGGGTGGGTGAAGACCCCGCTTCTCCACATTCCCGAAGCCCTGATCTGCAGACACGAGAGAAAAGGGATGTTTGCCGGGGGTTTCCCTTTGCTGCAACGTGACGACAAGGTTAATCAGATTCTTGGGATTCATCGCTCTGCCTTGTGAAGACTTGACGGATGATCCATCGTCATGCGAATCGTTCAAGTATATGGAGTTCACGTGTCGAACTGCATAGTGTTCTTGAATCATGTCCTGCCGGCAGTCTCCGTTTGCCTAGACCTCACGTCGAAGTTGCAGCTCCGACAATGGAGGAGTCCCAAGGCAGTAGCGTCGTGGCTCCAGCAGCATTTTGGCAGCTTTGCGTTCATCAGCTCTTTATTAAACTTCGGTCTGGATCAAGTCCTGCTGAAGCTGAAGCTCAGCCCGGGGATATGTTGAGAGAGGGTACTTGATCGTTCTCCGCAGCTGAGCGCAACCCAGTCTTACACGACTGAACAATAACCTCCGCAGCAGACCAATCCAGATCTTGGGTTCCGAGTATTGTGAAGGAGACGGTCTCGTGTAGAGGCTATGGCTTCACGCCTCGGTGCCTGAGATAACCGTTGTTTGTGATGACTTGCCTAGACCAAGCGAGCTATGATTCATGTACACGCGACTCGACTTCCGGCTGGAGGATCGCGAAGCAGAAAGATGTTATATCCCTTCCTATGCCCTCATTCAGGGCCGAGTCTCGTTGTGGACAAGTGTCGATGTTCGCGAAGAATGGGGATGCGAAGTTCCACTCCCAGTGAATCGCTCAACATCTCTGTTGGAGGCGATAACATGCATTATGGAACGATGATGAGTGATTCTACCAGCTTACTATCTTTGCTGTCAGTACTCCTTTGCTGTCAGTACTCCTTTGCTGTCAGTGCTTCTTTGCTGTCAATACTTGGAAGCATGGCTCGCAGGGAGCTCGCCATCCTTGACGCTATTACGCTAGACTTGGATCCGGCACACATAAGCGTGGCTCCCATACTTCATGCCAGATTTTGCACAACTTTGCCGATTGTGCCGGTCCTTGATCACTGTGCCAGTGACATGGGCGGCTCAGACTCAATCGAGTATCTTGTGGCGATCCGAGGTCTGGGCGCATGTACAACGATACCAGATTGTAATAGCAATTCGACGATAGCCCGAAGCGGTTACTGCTTTTTGCACTGAGGCTCAGGATTTCAGTTCGACCGTCCAAGCATGCGGTAGTCTGTTCAACACTCGACGAAGAACGCACGTAATCAACATCGCACGGAGCATAAAGTGGCGCCCTGGGACAGGTCGTATGTCGGAGGAATTCGTTGTCACGCCTCGCCGATCGCTGAGATGAAGTGCGCAGATGTGTCCACTATTGCACACGATCCGGTGGCTTGGTGGATGCCTGGGGATCTCTGCTCGTGCAGAAAAGGAACGGGTTGGTCCATGGTCCCCACTATGGTATGGTGTTGCTGCCTCCTTGGTCAAGCATGTCGTGACACACAGYGATTTCTGTAGTCGAACAGCGGAGAGACACATTCGCCTTCGATATACCACATACTGTCACCTCGAGTCAAACATGGGACCTAGGTTTGAGGAGCGAAGCATCTTCAGGCCAGTCTTTCCAACCTCAATCCGTTGTGACAGTCGGAGTTGATCCGACCTACATTTGTATGCCTTTCGAGGAGGAGAGTGTTGGTGATTTGATTTGGTGTGGACATCGCTGAGCCGTCATATTGATGGAGGGGAGGAGGTGGTGAAAACCGGGGTCGATTTCCGCCCCACTTTTCTCGGCAGATCGTCCCGCAAGCGCCGATCCAAGATCTGGAGCTGGAAATAATTTGTCTCGTGAAAGTCCTGCGCAATGCAAACGAGCACCTCTCAACCGCTTCGACCATCCCGCCTCGAAACCTGCCGCTTCGAAGGATCAATTGACTACATGGCCTGATACAACCCATCGCGACCACCTTCATATTCCTCACCCTCACCCTCACACGCGCTCATCATGCCGAAGAAGGCGATTGATGCGCGCATACCAGCGCTGATCCGCAATGGCATGGCGGACAAGAAGCGCTCCTTCTTCGTCATCGTGGGAGACCGACAAAAGGATGTCATTGTCAATCTCTACCATATCCTGCTCAATCTGGACATTAAGCTCAACAAATCGGTCCTTTGGGCATACAAGAAGCAACTTCTCGGCTTTTCATCACATCGGCAAAAGCGGGAGAAGAAGATCAAGAAGGAGATCAAGCGTGGCGTGCGTGAGGCGGACAATGAAGACCCCTTTGAGCTGTTTGTGAGCACACAGAACATTCGATATGTCTACTACAAGGAGACGGAGAAGATTTTGGGCAACACATACGGCATGTGCATCTTGCAGGACTTTGAAGCCATCACACCCAATCTACTGGCACGAACCATGGAGACGGTCGAGGGCGGCGGGTTGGTGATCTTGTTGTTGAAGGGAATGACCAGCTTGAAGCAACTGTACACCCTCAGCATGGACATTCACTCGCGATACCGCACAGAAGCCCACGATGATGTGACGGCTCGATTCAACGAGCGATTTATCCTGTCGCTTGGTAAATGCGAGTCATGTTTGGTTTTGGACGACGAGATGAATGTGCTGCCCATCTCTGGAGGCAGGAGCGTGGTGGAGCGGCAGATACAGGAAGAGGACGGCGAGAAGGCGAAAGCAAGGGCCGAGTTGGATGGCATCAAGGAGAATCTGGCGGATACAAAGCCTGTGGGAGATTTGGTACAACTGGCCAAAACCGTGGACCAGGCAAAGGCTCTGCTCACATTCGTCGAGGCGATTGCGGAAAAGACGCTGGCAAGCACCGTCACTCTCACCGCCGGCAGAGGTCGTGGCAAGTCGGCAGCGCTGGGAGTGGCCATTGCCGCGGCCATTGCACACGGCTACAGCAACATCTTCATCACCTCACCATCGCCTGAAAACTTGAAGACCCTCTTCGACTTTGTCTTCAAGGGATT